CGGCTCGGCGGCTCGGCTGCTGGGCGGCTCGGTGGCTCGACTGTTGGGCGGCTCGACTGCTGGGCGGCTCGGCGGCTCGGTTGCTGGGCGGCTTGGAGGCTCGGCTGCTTGGCGGCTCGACGGCTCGGCTGCTGGGTGGTGCAGCGGTGAAGGGTCCGGTAGAGGCGACGACGGGGCTGGTAGAGGCGGCGTTGGGGCCGCTAGGAGCGGCGACGGGGCCGCTAAGGGCGGCGAGGTGGCCGCGAAGGGGTGGCGACGGGGCCGCTAGGAGCGGCGACGGGGCCGCAGAGGGGCCGCAAGGGGCCTAGAGGGGCGGCGACGAGGCCGCTAAGGGGCCGTAAGGGGCGTAGAGGGGGGCGGCGATGGGGCCACAAGTGGTGGCGACGGGGCCGCGAAGGGGCCGGGAGGGGCCTAGAGGGGGCGGCGATGAGGCCTATAGCGGCGGCGACGGGGCCGTGAAGGGGCCGCGAGGGGCCTAGAGCGGCGGCGACGGGGCCTAGAGCGGCGGCGACGGGGCCTAGAGCGGCGGCGACGGGGCCGTGAAGGGGCCGCGAGGGGCCTAGGGCGGCGGCGACAGGGCCTAGAGCGGCGGCGACGGGGCCGTGAAGGGGCCACGAGGGGCCGAGAGGGGCGGCGACTGGGTCGCTAAGGACGGCGACGGGGCCGGTAAGGGTGGCGCAAGGGGCCTCTAGGAGGGCGCGACGTGAGGGCGGCCTACGGGGCACGCCTCGGGCAGGAAAAAAAAGATTGAGGTAGCTGGTAGGCCCTGAGAAGCGTCCCCACGAGGGAACTTGCTCTATACCATGTGAAGAATGAGGAATGAATGAACTAGCACAAGGTTGGGTACAAGTAGGAAACCCTAGGAAACTGTACCCCATAGTGTCTACCCCATTATAGCCTAAACAAGCTATATGATATGAGTTTGACAGCAAGCTCTGGCTAGAAGTACGTGCGACTAAGCGTCTTAGCCGTCTTATCTGCTCCGAAGTGCACTGCACGAACTTCGTCGTGCGCCTCTAAGAGAAGGAGCTGTCGAAGAGGGCGGTAGGCAGGAACCCAAATCCGTGTGGTACCCTTCCGTATGTGGACACTACCTTGCACCTCTGCTCCTGCGGGTGGCTGCGGTGTGAAGTCGGAATCTACTGTGTAACCGTGCTCAAAGAGTGCTGTGAGAAGTGGATGGCCGGCAGTGACTGTGAGACTAGCGATCTGGCAACTAGGGCGAGTGAGCGGATTTGCTGGGTTGCGAACGCCTGGCTTGTACTTTATCCTGTAGTGAAAACTCCCCTCCATGAACTCCATCCATCTAGCCTGGCGACGACTCCGCTGCGGTTGTGACTTGAGAAAACGAAGCGAGCAATGGTCCGTGCGTATCACACTATCTGCCCCCTCTAGGTAGCACCTCCACACGTTATACGCATTGATGATCGCGAGCGCCTCCCTTGTCGTGTATGGGATAGTTCAACTCCGCTCCGCTAAGCTTACGCGACTCGTACGCGATCGGGTGCAACCCGTGTCCCTTGTCCTGAAGAAGCACTGCTCCTATGGCCTGATCTGAAGCGTCGGTCACTACAACGTATGGGCGAGTGGGATCAGGGTACGACAGTGTCGGTGAAGACGTGAGCGACTGCTTCATCTGCTCGAACGCCTGCTGCTGCGCTGGACCCCAAAGAAACTCTACGCCCTTCCAAAGTAGGTCGGTGAGTGGACTAGCAATGGAAGCATAACCCTGAACGAAACGACGGTAGTAATTCGCGAAACCGAGGAAGCTTTGCAGATCCTTGACTGAGGTCGGTGCTATCCAATCCTGTACTGCTGCGATCTTCTTCGGGTCCGTCCTAATGCCAATAGCGGAAACGACGTGATCTAGAAACTCGACCTCCAAGAGGAAGAACTCACACTTCTACTGTTTCGCATACAACTGCTCCCTCCTCAAGACCTCAAACACCTTCTGCAAGTGTTGCACGTGCTCCTCCTTCGTCTTAGAGAACACTAGGATGTCGTCCAGGTAAACTACAACGAACGACCCTAGGAACTCGGAGAGGACGGTGTTCATGAGCGTCTGAAACGTCGCCGGGGCGTTGGTCAATCCGAACTGTAGAACCCTAAATTCGTACAACCCCTACTTCGTACGGAACGCCGTCTTGTGCTGGTCCTCTGGAACTACGCGAATCTGGTGGTAACCTGAACGGAGGTCGACCTTTGAGAAGACTCTAGCGCCCTGCCCTGCATCGAGTAGATCCTCTACTCTCGGAACTGGGAATCTAGTCTTGACGGTGGCGGCGTTCAGTGCGCGGTAGTCTATGCACATCCATAACTCTCCGTCTTTCTTAGGCGCGAAAAGGATCGGTGCTGCCCAAGGCGATCTAGATGGCTGTATGAACCCCTGCGCGAGAAAGTGCCTAACCTGCTGCGTCATCTCCTCTGTCTCCGCTGGACTCAACCTCCACTGCGGCTTTGCTACTGGCTTGCTCCCCGGCTCCAACTCTATTCAATGGTCTACTGCTCGGCTAGGAGGTAACCCAGGGGGCAACTCGTCGGGGAAGACGTCTGCGAACTCTGCTAACAGTGCACTCACCTCAGCAGGAAGAGTCGCCTTCTCCCCAAACGCTGCACTCCCTCCTTTGCCCTCCTCAGCTTCCACCTCCTCAAGGAAAACCGTGAAGATCCGTGACGCACGCTTCACCAGCTGCCGCACACAAACAGCATTGATGATGGCTGTGGAGGATGTCGCCCCATCACTCCACTTTGGCAGCTCCCGGAACTCGCCATCTACCTTGACGCTGCAGCTTCCCTGAGCCCAATCGAACTGAGTACTAACCGTCCGTAGCCAATCCCTACCAAAGATGAAGTCGTATCCGACCAGCGTCGCAGAGTCAAAATCACGTCTAACTGTGATTGGTCCTAGCACTACGCGCAACTTGCGAATGATCGGTCCTATGTGGAGAGGCGTCCCATCTACCAGGCGTCCCATCCTTGGCTGCGGAATCTGTTTCAAGATAGAGGCGGCTGACTAACGATGAAGACACGAACGAGTGGCTAGCTTCGCTATCTACGAGAATCTTAACAGGAACTCCGCGAAGCTTCCCTAGAAACACGACTGGTCGGTCAACAGTGTCTACCTCGTTCTCCGTAGATGACTGCTGCAAAGCCGTCTCCTCTACGTTGGTAGACGTGGCGGGTACGGCAACCTCCACACCAGCTAGCGACCCGCTATCTACTAGCGGTTTCCGTTTCCCTGCTGCCGCTCCTTAAACTGTGGGCAGTCCCACTTCATGTGACAGTTCTCCCTGAATCCTGTTTTCTGTGAGCCGTCAATGTTAACTGCACCAATCTCTATGGGCGATGGTCCGTCCCTCGATCGAGCGTCGTTGATCGGTCTGTTGTATCCCCTATCGCGATCGTCACGACACCGTCGGCTTCGTACTGCGTCGACGCGTTCTGCTGCTACGACAACTGACTCGAAGGTGGACAACCCATGAATCGCTATAACTTCTGCTATGTCCGACTTCAACCCCTCGAGGTAGCGATCGCGCATCTCTGCTTCCGTGATATCGTCTATCTCGTTGCAGATGCTCAAGAAATGTCGTGTGTACACCTGGACGTTTCCTATCTGTCGGAAAAGACGCAGACGCTTTCTAGCAGCTTCGGAGGCGTTCACCAAATCGAACCTACTTTTCAGCACCGCTTCAAATCCTTCCCATGTGGTCGGAACCGTGGTAACACCCAAAGCTAAACTCCCTAAGCTCGAAGTTGCAGCCGCATGCCCCACGCCCTGTTGATGCTCGTCTGTCTGAGCCCGTCTTACAGCAGTTTGCGTGAGTTGGCGCCATCACTCCAAGGCTGGGCCCCTCAGCAGCGTAACGGAGTACTCGATCCGCTGCTGCGCGTCCACCTCTTGCACCCCGCTCGCGGCGAAGTAGTTGTTTAGCATGAAGAGCCACGTCCGCACGTTCGCGTCGCATTGACTTGGGTCGAACGACTCGGGTTTCTGCGGCTTGAGTGCGCTTCGACGTTCCGGCAGCGCTTCCGTGCCAGTCGACGTGTTGGGCGCAAGAGTTGGTGCGGCATGACCATGGGGGTTAGAAGCCAATTTACGAAGCTGTTGCATTTCAGCTCGTACCTGACGATTTGCCAACGTCAACTCTTGAAGTTGGCGCATGAGTTCGGCAAGCGTGTTGCCCATGTCGTGGGGGAGAGCGCGCATGGTTTCGTCCATGTTCGCTCGACCACTCCAGGTCTGCAAGTCGGCATCGCGGGACGATGACGTCATAGTTTCGTCGTCGACGGTCGCTCGTTGGAAGTCGCTCCCCGCGAAGGCTCTTGATACCAAGTGTTAGGCCCGACGGCCTAAGTCCGCTAAAGAATTAGCGGGGTCGACTAAGTCGAGGATGAAACGCGGCGGAAAACTTTGGCGAAATATGCGAAAGAGTTACTGAGTAATGAAAGAGTTGAACGAGAATTGATTGATAAAGGCAAGTACAAGCAAGGTTGATATATCATGCAAGATCGAATGTCGGAAAATACTTCGTGGGACTAGGAATTGAAGGCAAAAAAGGTGAGTGCCACGTGACACTAGGAAATCAAGAAAGATAAGGATAAGGGTGAGTTGGAAAGTACTGTTCGGAATGAACAGTAATCCCCCCTTAACACTGCCCTTGTTTCGACCCCTGTGGAGTTGTATTAACTAGTTGAATGATGTGCACTACCTGTAACCTTAGCAAGCAGTTGCCACTCTAGCCATCTGTTTGAACTGCGGGCAAATACCCCCTCTGGATCAATATGCTCACACTTAACTAAGGAGCTTGCTGCACTTCTCCCATGCAATGCTGCAAGAGCTCTCAACAGTTCAATTCAGATGTTATAATCAGTTCATAAGAAAGTGCACGCATGAACAACCCCTCATGTTAACACCGCCAGCGCTAGTAGTAATGCGGCAATGCAGGATGGAGGGGGGCAGCTACAGTGCAAGAGGCGAGCAGGAGGTGAGGTGCAGCGCATCAGGAAGTGAGGTGCAATGCATCTGGCGTGTCCTGTAAGATGCCTCTCATCTGCAGGTATGGATTCTCCAGCAGCTTCTCGTTGTTCGTCTGAGCAAGGGGACCACCGGGAGGGGGGAGGGGGGAGGGGGGAAGAGATGGGTGGAACACAGGTGAGTGAGTGAGAGGGTTAGGGTAGCAGGAAACACGCAGTGCAAGAGAGAGCAAACGGCGTGTGCAAAACCAGGGAGATGCTGCTGGGCGAAACAAAAGGAGTCCACGTGCGGGGGTGAGAGAGATTTCATTGCTGGCACGTCAAGGCATGGCACGAAAGTGGTGTTTGTTCAGAGCACACACCTGCTCCGCTGCGAAAGATGAGCACGCACCTGCTGCGCTGTGAAAATAAGGCGGTGCAGCGCACGCCGGTACACATCAGGTTGCTGAGACATCATGCGCTGAGGAGAGGGGGAAGAGGGAGTGGTGGGGTTGGTTGGTGTGACGTGGCGGTGACACAACGTTGTAGGGGAGAAGAACCACCGGGGAGAGAGAGAACTAGCGATGCAGAGGAGTGGGGAATTCGGAAGCTGTTTAGCAAGGGGAATGCACATGGTTCCTTGGGACAGCATGGCATGGGGCAGACAGTGAGGCGAGAGGAGGGTGGGTTGGGGGAGAGGGTGGGAGAGGGTGAGAGAGGGTGGGAGGGGGTGAGAACAGGTGGGAGGGGGGGAGAGAGGGTGGGCGGGGTTGAGAAAGGGTGAGAGATTGTGGGAGAGGGTGAGGGAGAGTGGGAAGGGGTGGGAGCAGGTAAGAGAGAGTGAGGAGACTGGGAGAGGGTGGGAGAGCGTGGGAGGCACCTTGACAAGGAAGGCAGCGCTCCAATAGGCAATGCGGGCATCGGGATCATCGAGCAGCGACCTGAGGGCATGGGCAGGGCGAGATGGAGAAAAACAAGGGGCTTGGATGGGGTTGGGCAAGCACACGGAACTGAAACTCTTGACAGAGACCGCAACTGCACGTGCGCTTCTGTGTGCCGGTACGGGTGCGTACCCGGGTGGGCATGGATGTGCGTGTGTGTGAGCGTGGGCAATAGCGATGCACGAACTGGCTACAAGATGAGAGCTTGCTGCAAGTTGCATTCACAAGGTGCAGCACAGGGTAGCACGGAATACTCTTCTCCTCACCAGCACAGCCCAGCGCAGCCCAGCGCAGCCCAGCGCAGCCCAGCACAACCCAGCACAGTCCAGCGCCACCCAGCAGCGCCCAGCAGCGCAGCACTCACCGGAAGAAGGCATCCCCTCCAACCTCCTCCAGCGCCTCACTGCTATCACTGCACTTGCCAATGAGCAGCAGCAGCAGCGCCACCCGCACGTCCACCGCCCCTCCCGCACCCACAATCCCGTGACTCCCCACCGCCGTCGCCAGTGCTATGGGGTCCCCGGCACTCGGCGCCAGCTGCATGAGCGGCCAGTACAGCAGCGCCGTCGGAAGCGCTGCTAAGAGCTCCCTCGCCGCTGCTGCCCTGCGCAGCAGGAAGAGCCGAGCCATGGACTCACTCTCTTCGGCCGCATACGGCGGGCTCATTGCACCGCCGCCTTCCCCTCCCGCTACTGCTGCCACGCGCGGGTTCACCAGCCAGCTGCTACCTCCAGGGCTGGGGACCGGGCTGCCCGGTTCAACGACTTGCGCGGTGGGGAGGAAGCGGGGTACGCAGAGCTGCCAGAGCATGACGGAGCACATCTGGAGGATGTTCACACGGTCGCTGTCGTTACAGGACATTACTTGCCACAGTGCACTGCTCATTACGGCTAGTAAGTCCTGTGCGCCTTGGTGCTGCACTGCTGATGCTGCTGCCGCGGCTTCGTCCGCTGCCCGACGCTCCTCCATCCCCATGGGCCCCTCGGGAGCTTCTGCTGCTGCAGCTGCAGCGGCGTGTGCCGCACCGCGGCTTTCTCTCGACTCCTGCTCGGTTTCCGCAGCGTGCAGCAGCAGCAGCTGCTCTAGCACTGTCACGAACCCCCGCCTCACTGCCGTGTTGTCTGATCGTACTAGTTCTAGCATCAGCTGCACCGCACCTGACACGCCTGCCCTCCGCCCTCCCCCTCCTCCCCCCCCACCGCCTGCCCCTCCCCCCATGCCCATTCCCATGCCGCCCCCGCCTCCCCCCTCCTCCCCCGCCTCCCCTTGCTCCAGCTGGGCCAATTGCCGGTATAAAACCATAAGCTGCCCGGCCCGCCCCCTCTGCTGCTGCTGCTGGCCGTCCTGTGGGTCCGCGAGCAGGGGCTGCTGGTAGGGAGCGAGGTTGGGCAGTTGCTGCAGCAGCAGGTGCAGCAGCCATGTGAGGCCGTTGCGCCGGTCCACGGCCCGCTGCGAGTGCAGCAGCGCCCGCAGCGTGCCCCACGCGCGCCGCTCTTTCCCCACCTCCGCCTCGTCCGCACCACCACCAACGCCACCGTTGGCCCCCGCGGTGGAGGAAGGGGCAGGGTCGGGAGGAGGGCCGTCGCTGGCGAGGGTGCATTGCAGCATGGCAGTGAACTCGGGGGGCAGGCGCAGGTGCGCTGAGATCAGATCGTCCAATGTGTCTGTCACTAGGTGCAGGGCCTGATGGGGGGCGGGGGGGGGGGGGGGGGGGGGGGTGGGGTGGGTAGGTAGGATGTGCTTGTATCGCATCAAGGGATTTTCAAGAATGACAGAAGCAGGCGCAGGTGAGCTGAGATGAGACCCTCCAGTGTGTCTGTCACTAAGTGCAGGGCCTGGTGGGGGGTGGGGGTCGTGTGGGGGGCCCGGGGTGGATAGGGAGTGGTTGTATCATGTTAGGGGAACTATTGCAGAGTCACAAGCAGAAGCAGGCGCAGCAGGTGTGGTGATACATGCGATCGTACAACATGTCTGTGCAGGGCCTAATAGGCGGGTGGGGGTGGTGGGGGTGCAGTAGGAGGGGTGCAGGTGTTACATGGGGGGACAGAAAAGGCGGGCGGATGAGGAGGAGGGGGGAGGTGAATAGGTGGATAGCAGGGTGAGAAGGCGGAAGGAGGCAAGATGTGGTGGAATAGAAGCACAAGGGACATGAGACGCGGGAGGCAAGGCAAGGCAGGGATGGAGGCCGCTTGTGTAACGCCCTTGCACGCCTCTTGTCCCCCCCTCGCACACAGCCTTTGCAACCCCCCTTGCACCTCCCGTTGCGCATCCCATCCCCCCCCCCACCCCCACCCCCCCGTATGCCCCCCTGTGCCACCCTGTACCCCCCCCTTCCCCCGTGCACGCACCTGCAGGGAAAAGCCGGCAGCGGAGGTGTCCGGGGGGAGGGGAGCAGCGATGGTGCGCGCGAGAGCAGCGCCGATGGGGCCTGCCGGGGGCGAGGGCGCCTTGAGCGCCACCACCAGCGCCTCTGGCGCCCCCGCTGCCACCAGCGCCGCCACCACCGCTGCTAGCTCCGCCTCCTGGGGGTGGGGGGTGAACAGGGAATGGGGAACGGGGGAGGGGGGGAGGTAGAGGGGGGAGAGGGGGAGAGGGGAGAGGGAGGGCGGAAGTGGAGAGGGGAGAGGGGGAGAGGGGAGGGGAGAGGGAGGGCGGAAGGGGAGAGGGGGAAGGGGAGGAGGAGAGGGGGGGGAAGAGGGAGGGCGAGGGGGGAGGGGGGATGAGGATGGGGAGGGCGAAAGGGGAGGGTTGAATGAGAAAAAGGGAGGGAGGGAGGGCGGGAGGAAGGGAGGAAGGGCGGGTGAGGAGGGATGCGGGAGGAAGGGTCTATGTGAGGGTATGAGGGAATGGCGAGTGGAGGACGTGGAGTAGTGGCAGGGACGGATGTTGGGGTGCATGGCATGCAAACACCGATGAGGGGGCAGCGGCTGCATGCAAGGCAGGCGGTGAGAGCAGCAGCTATGCAGAACGCTGGTGAGAGGCCGAGCAGGAAGGCCGAGTGGGTGAATGCGTGGATGCAGAGGAGGGGCAGAGGTGCACTGTGGACCGTGCGCCGTGGATGAATGCTGTGACAAATGCCATGGTGAAAGGATCTCCCACCAACAGGCTGGTGCTGGTGGTGGTGCTGGCATGCAGATGCACACAGAGGCCGAACAGCACACACACGTACGGAGGGCGGAGGGTGGTCGGGGTGGTGTGGGTGCGGGTGCAGGCGGCACAGCAGTGCCACATAGTCCATCACCACTGCAAACAAGTTGCGTCTCGCCTCCACCTCCTGTGATGCTGCGTACTGTGAGGCCGAGAAGGAGTGGAGGAGGAGGGAAGGGTTGTTGGTGGGGTGAAGGTGGGGGAGAAGCGATGGGGTGAGGATGGGAGATACGGAGTGGTGTAAGGAGAGAGGATGGGGGAGGTGGGAATGAGGTGGTGGGGTGGGGTGGGGTGGGGTGGGGGGAGCTTGGGGCAGAGCGAGGGGAAAACGGCGGAGGGACGGGAAAGGACGGAGGGCAAGAGGAAAGGACGGAGGGCAAGAGGAAAGGACGGAGGGCAGAGGAGAGAGAGCTGCAGAGAAGGTGGAACGGGGGGGTGACTCACGTGGCAGCAGATGAAGGAGATGCCCCCCACGCGCTCCAGCTGCTTCACGTCCAGCCGCAGCCCGTCCCTCGCTGCCTCAAACGCGCGCCCTGGTGGGTGCTGCGCGGTGTGGTGCGGTGCTGCGTAGAGCAGGCAGGCGAGCATGCGCACTAGGTGCGTGTGCACTGCCTGCGCCCACCCGTGCACTATGCTGATCTCCAATAGCGACGCTAGGACCTGGAGGGGAGGGAGGGAGGGAGGGAGGGAGGAAAGAGAGAGCGAGAGAGAGGGAGGGAGAAAAAGAGGGAGGGGGAGAAAAGGATGGGAAGAGGGCGTGGATGGAGGGATATGAACAGCTGGAAAGGGAGAGAGAGAGAAAAAATGTACAGCAGAAGGTGGTTGCATGTGATAGGAACAAGGGGAGGGGAGTGGAGTGGAGTGGGAGGAGGAGGATCAAAGCACTAACCAAATTCTGAGAGTCCTTACAAGTTACTCGAACAACGGAGAAGGATGAAGATGAGCAGCGGGAGGATGAGGAGGAGAGGGACAGGGAGGGGGAGGTGGAGGGAGCGGGAGGGCGGGAGGAAGGGGAGGGGGAGCGGAGCGGGAGAGGGAAGGAGAGGGGGAGCGGGAAGGAAGGGGGGAGGTGGCACTGACCCGGACATCCAGCAGCGCGAGGCGGTGGAAAACTGTCCTGCCGCGGTCGCACGTGAGGTAGAGCAGACAGCTGAGCGCCGCTGCCCACACACTCTCATCGCTCTCCTCCACCTGCATGGGAGCGAGAGTGCAAGCAAGGTGCCGGACGAGGGCGGGTGAGGAGCGGGGTTTGGGGGAGAGAGCAACAGAGTGAGAGGGCCAGGAGAAAGTGAGGGAAGTTTGTGAGCAGCAAAGTGATACAGTGGGAGGAGATGGGGGTTCTATCTTGTCCACCCCTCCCTTGCACAAGGTGAGGATTGCATTGAGTGTACGCACATACCTCAAACCGGACGCAGCAGCACAATGCAACCTTAGAATCTACGCAGCAGCACAAGGGAACTCACACATGAATAAATCGATGCGAAAGATCGGCACGAAACAGATCGGACCACCCACCCACCTGCACGAGGCGAGTTTCGTGCCCTTCGCCCGAAACTGGTTTTTGTGTTTTGTTTCGGTTATTCTTCTTAACGCGAAGAGCACCAATTTTCAAAACTATTGGCTGTGCGTTGGTGCTGATTTACAATACCGCTTTCCTACTTGCTTGAACCAACCTTTGAGCATTGAAGCTCACTGGTGCTATACAATGCACGAGGACCCACCTGCACGAGGTAGAGAGCCATGTCACAGAGCAGCCCGAGCAGCCACTCCTCAAACATGGTCACTGCCGCTTCCGCCCGGAGGTGAAGGTCCAGTACAACAGTTCTTGTCCGAGAGCCTACCTGCTGCACGCGTTAGAGCGATAGGCCCAGCCACCCGCCTGCACGAGGACCCACCTGCACGAGGTAGAGAGCCATGTCACAGAGCAGCCCCAGCAGCCACTCCTCAAACATGGTCACGGCTGCCGCCCTGCGCACGGCCCCGCGCTCGGCCTCGGCGGCATCGGCGTCGGAGGAGTAGGGCTGCCCCGCCTCGTCCTCCACTGGCAGCGGGTGCAGCAGGTGCGCGTGCACTCCCAGATTCAGCATCAGGTCGAATGCCCGCACGCGCACGGTCGGTTTGTTGGAGGAAAGGAGTGTCTGGAGAAGGACGGGGGGGGGGGGGGTGGTTGGGAGGGGAGGGGAAGGGGTGATGGAAGGTTGGAGGAAAAGGGATGAGGAATTGAGTGGACTGAGTTTGGATGAGAGTTCTCAAAAACCAGCTGATTTTATTGGCGGCATCATCCACTGGCAGGGGGTGCAGCAGGTGCGCGTGCACGTCTGGGGGATCAGCATTTGGTTGAATGCTCGCACTCGCACTGTCGGCTGGTTGGACGAGAGGAGCGTCTGGGGGGAGGGGAGCGAGGGGTGGGGGGGGGGGAGGGGACAGGGTGATGGAAGGGTGGAGTGGGAGGGTAGGGAATTGGGTGTAGGGCAAGAAGGGCCTCGGAAACGGAAAGAAAGGGGTGCAGAAGTTACAGATTTCTCAGAAATTATGGGTGGCAGGGCACTCACATGCATCATGGATGGCAGGGCACTCACATGCATCATGGAGAGCGCGAGGGGCGCTGCAGAGCGAGGGTCCACAAGGTACCTGCAGGGGGCGTGCAGGGGGTGAGAGGGGCGAGGGGGTGAGGGGGGCGAGGGGGGAGGGTGGGGGGTGGGGGTGGGGGGGTTGAGACATTGCGCGTGCATGGGGGAAGCAGCAGCACAGCACATGGATAGGTGGGAAGACACGGCAGCGGGTGAAGTGAATCCCGAGAGACGGCGAGTTACATTGCTTGCGAAGACATGCAGACCGCATATGGCAAAAAAGAACGACAGAGGCGCAGATGGGTGCAGCACGCCTCTCGGCAGGCGGGTGCGCCCACGGGGATACACCGTTATACGAGTCACGTTTGAGGATTCCCAAAGGTGCATCTGGGTAAAACGTAAAAGGGTAGGGATGGCATTGCGGCAGGCAGGCCTCTCCACGAGGCAGGTGGGGTTACAGAAACCGACAGAGGCTGTGCCATCCCACGCCCACCCCCACCGTCCCCTCCCCCGCTCACCCTCTCTCTCCCCCCCTCCACCTCTCCCGCTCCCTCGCCCCTTCTCCCCCTCTCCCCCTCTCCCACTCTCCCCCTCTCTCCCCCCTCTCCTCACATGTCAATGAGCATTTTGATGAGCACGGACGCCGCCACGTCAGCAGGGTCCACCTGCGGCACCATGTGGTGCGCGGGGGACGAGAGGCGCGCGGACCCGTGTGCGCCCGCACCCCCCGCGCCCCCTGCTGCTGCGGTGGCCGCCACGGAGCACACGGCCGCCATCACCTCCTCCATCTCTCCCTCGCTCAGCCTCAGCGGCTGCTGCTCGCTGCGGGGGGAAGGGGGAGGAAAGGGGGGGGGGTTGGGTGGTTGGGGAGAGGTGGAGGAAGGGAAGGGAGAGTGGGAGGGGGAGAGGGGAGGGGGAGGGTGGAGGCAAGGCGAGTGATTGAGTTGAAGCTGTTAGTTCACTGGGAAGCCACGGAGCACACGGCCACCATCACCTCCTTCATCTCTCCCTCGCTCAGCCTCAGTGGCTGCTGCTCGCTGCGGAGGGGGAGAGGAGGGGTTGTGTAAAGGGGGTTGGGAAAGGGAAGGGTGGGGAAGAGGGTGAAGAGGGGAGGGGGAGGGGGAGGGGGAGGGGGAGGGGGAGGGGGAGGGGGAGGGGGAGAGGGAAGGGGAAGGGGAGGGCGGAGGGTGGGGGGAGGAGGAGGGTGTGGGCGAGCAAAGGCGTTGACTTTTGAGTCGACTAAGAAGCCACAATCCCACCTTGCCATCGCTCAGCCACTGATGCTCGCTGCATGGGAGGGGAAGGGGATGTTGGAAGAACGTGAATAGCAAAAGGAGTAAGGGGCAGAAGCAGGGGAAGCGAGATCGGAGGAGGGTTGAGGGTATGGGGGGAGCGGGCAGAAGTGGGGTGGGAGAGTAGTGTGGAAAGGGGGGGACGGAGAGGTACCAGAGCAAGGATGGAGCATTGAAATGATCGGATGAGGCGGCGCATGCGATCAAGAGGCGGGGGAGCCAAAGAGGTGGCATATCATATGGCATCGTCGTGGGCAGTGCATCCACTCTTCCACCAATGGTCATCCACTCTTCAAATCAAACAGCAGCTCACAGGCAACCATGGCCCACAGGCAACCATGGCCCACAGGCAACCATGGCTCACCTGTAGTAGCGGTATTGGAAAAGCGGGCGACGGCGCTTCATGGAGCTCTGCAGCCCGTCTCCTGCCGCACCCCTGGCAGCGCACGCACACGCACAGAGAGCACACAGCAATACGGTTACACGGGTGAGGCTAGCCTGGCATCGGGCAAACACGGAGTAACAAGATGGGAGCTCTGCTTGTCGCTCCGCCGTTTGAGTCAACTCAAAAGTCGAGTCGACTCATAAGTGACCTTTGGGTCGACACACAAAAGCTATCACATCCTTCCAGCAGCAGCTCACGCCCAAGTCTCAGTGCCTGAGAACACAGAATAACCCACACCGCAAAGACCACACTCACACGCGGCCCACCTCCCATAAAACCAGCCACACTCACAGGGGGCCCACCATACACCTCGCATGAACCCACAGGAACCTCATGCAGCGGCCAGTGCACCAGTGCACCTCACATGAATGGACCCATCCACACGGCACACTCACGTGGGGTCGGCCTTGAGGCGCTTGGTGATGGTGATATGGCGAATGTGGTTGCTCTTGAGAATGCTCAAACCTGACACTCACGTCCATGGGCCCACCCAGCCACACTCCGCACTCACGGGGGACCCAGTGCACCTTGCATGGACCCATCCACACGGCACACTCACGTAGGGTCGGCCTTGAGGCGCTTGGTGATGGTGATATGGCGGATGTGGTTGCGCACGAGCACGGGGTCCACGGTGCCGGTGACGGTGTCGAAGTGCAGCAGGTCGGGGCTGCCCTCCGCCTCCAGCTGCACCACGTGCACCCCCAGCAGCACTGCGGCAGCGCTCCCGTCTGCTACTGTGCGGAGGGGCTCCAGGTGGGGTAGGTCTGATGGGGCGCGCGGAGGGGGGTACGCGCTGATGCCGGGAGGGGGATGGCGGGTGGTGGGTGGGTGGAGTTTGGATGCGTGGGGAAGGGGAGTGGGTGGGCGTGACGGCGGCAATTAAGACGAGCGGCATGAGGAGTGTTGAATGAGGCAATGTGATGGGTGGATGGCAGAGGGGCAGTGGTGGGGAAGAAAGCAAGCAAGCAAGGATAGAGCAAGGAACGTGGGGATGGGGCAAGGATGCTGAGATGCTGTGCAGTGCAAGGGCCAAATCTCCTGCATGCCTGTTATTTGAGAATTCTCAACGTATGTTTTTCGAGAATTCTCAAATGACATACACTCGCCCCCCCTCCACCCATTCCTCCCCCCACCCACACAACCACTCTTCTCCCCCATCCACCCCTCACCTCTCCGCCCCTCTCTCCTCCCCTCGCTCCTCCCCATCTCCTCCCTGCTCCCCGCCCCCTGCCCCCCTCTCACGCACACATAGCTGGCAATCGCAGAGGGAGCCCATCCCCTACTGCGGCTGATCCACCGCACCCTCAGCATGTCCATGGGCGCGTACTGCCCCGCCGCCACACCCCCCTCCTGCCCCGGAATCAACCTCGCCATCGCCATCGCCGTCGCCTGCGCCGCCTCCCTATCCGCCGCACTCGCCCGTTTCAGCGCCGCGCTCGCGCCCCCTCCCACGCCCACCGCGCCCCCCCCATCCACCGCCAGCGGCGCCACTCGCGACGGGGTCCTCGCCCCCCCTCCCACCCCCGCCGCTCCCCCCACCCCCAGCCCCCCTCCCCCGGCTCCTCCTGTTGTCATCCCCCCGTCGGCCGCACGCGCCGACCGCATGAGGTGCGCGGGAAGGTTCCGGGCGACTACGGCGCGGACGTAGAGGAGCGACTTGATGAGCGCGGGGCCGGACTCGGCGGTGGGGCCGTCGGCGCCGGCGGCAGCGGCGGCGGCGTTGCCGAGGCGGTGGCGGGCGGCCTGCGCTGCCTTGAGCTCCGCTATCACGTCCGCACAGAAGCCGTCTATGTGCTCCAACGTTGATATTGCTGGCCCGTAGCTGCAGGGCGGGGGAAGGAAGAGGGGGGAAGGGGGAGGGAGGAGGAGGGAGGGAGGAGGGGGGAAGGGGGAGGGAGGAAGGGGGAGGTAGGAGGGGGGAGGGAGGAGGGGGGAGGGGGTATGGGGTTCTTTTGATTCGATTCGAAAATCTGCTATGATGACCGCATGGGAGGCGTCTATGTGCTCCACTCTTGAAATCGCCGGGCCGTAGCTGCAGAGTGGAGGGAGGGGGCATGAGGTCGGGCAAGGGAGGGCATGAGGGGGGTGAGGCAGCGAGGGGCATATGGGGGAGTGGTGGGTGGGGAAGGGTGGTTAGCAGGAAGTAAAGATGGGAGAAACGGAGGCTGGGGTTTGTAAGGTTGGGGAGAAAGGAGGGAGGAAGCAGGGTAGGGGAAGACACACAGATGCGCGGACGAAAAGAGCATGTAGCTGTTGGCCGCGTGCACGCGAGCGAGGAAAAGGAGAGTATGAGATGATGATAACGAGAAGGCGAGAATAGGAGAAGGCGAGACGATGAGGAAGGGTGGGTGAGGAGAGGAGAGTGGTACCGGAAGAGATACTTCTTGAGCAGAGCCACGACCTTCATGATCACATGGGGACTGCATGCACGGGGCAGGACAGGGCAGCACAGACACATGGCACAGCACACGGGGCAGCACGGGGCAGCATGGGCGCACAGGAAGCAGGCTTTGGTTGAGATGGCACAACCGCTGGTGCAGTAGATTGGGGCAGCAGCAGGGGGCGCATGGCACAGGGAACAGAAAGCAGTGTGGGGGGAGGGGGAGAGAAAGGAGGGGCCCTGGCAGGCAGGGGAGCAAGCTCTTGTGTTGCAGCAGGCAGCCGTGCATTGCAGCTGCTGAGACGGGCTGGAAAGCAGCAAGAGGATTGCGGAGCTGTGTGGTGTGGTGAGCCATGGCATGGCATGGTATGGTATGGTATGGTATGGCATGGCATGGCATGGCATGGTATGGTATGGCATGGTATGGTATGGTATGGTATGGTATGGCATGGCATGGCATGGTATGGTATGGTATGGTATGGTATGGTATGGTATGGTATGGTATGGCATGGCATGGCATGGCATGGCATGGTATGGTATGGTATGGTATGGTATGGTATGGTATGGTATGGTATAGTGCAGTATGGTAAGGTACGGATGCCATGCCAGCGGCTCCAGCCAGGCCAGCCCCACCGTCCCACCACCAGCAGGCTATGCCTGCCTGCCACTCCCCATTCCCCCTTTCCCTTTTCCCCTTTCCCCATGGCCCCTGCCCTTTGCCCCCTGCCCCCTGCCCCCTTCGTTGTGCCCCCTGCGACTACGGTTGCCCCACCTGCGCCCCTTCTCGACCATGGCATGGTCCAGCAGTGCATTGTACGCCATGTCCACCGTTGCCGCATCGCCCAGGTAGTCCTGGGGGGAGAGAGAGGGGGGGGGAAGGGGAAGCGCGGGGGTGGCAGAGCGCAGGACGCAGGGGGAGACAAGCGGAGGGAGGAACGCAGAGGGCGGAGGGGGGAGGGCGGAGGGCAAGGGGCAGAGACAGCGGTGGGAGGGAGAGGAAGAGGAAAGTTTATGGAAGAAAGAAGGGTAACTGTGGGGAAGGGAGGGAGAGAAGCAATGCGGGTGATGCGGGGGAAGAGGAGGGGAGGGGGGGAAGGGAGAACGGCGGGGGTATTGCGAAAAGCGGGCAAAAAGAGGAGGGGGGGGGGCGAAGCGGGAAGGGGGCGGTGGAAAGGGAAATGAAGCGAGGGAGGAGTAGACAAGGGGATGGATAGTAAGGGGAATGGGAGGACGAGAGGGTGCGAAGGAGTTAAGTGACGGCAGCAAACGGAGGGAAAGAGGGAGGGAGGGAGGGAGGGAGGGAGGGAGGGTGGGTTGAGAGGGGAAGGGATTGCATGGACATGCATGGTGGCGGAGTTGGTGGGGATGGCGCGGGGGCAAAGAGGTGCATGAGGAGACGCGGATTGCGCCTTCCCCTCAATTGTCCACCCAACCCAAGAGGGGCCTCAGCATAACTTTCTTTGCGCCATGCGCGCCGAGCTCACATGCCGACTCGCCCCGCGAAGTCTCCGCGCACATGTCAACCTCCGCCATGCGCCAACGCGCACGCCAGCTCGCGGAAACCCACCCCGTCGCGCAGCCTCCGCCATGCGCCAAGCACGTTCGCCGCCCGTCGATGCGGCAACCTCCTGTTGCCGCGGAGACTCACCCGCGGCCTCACCCTCTTCCCCCGCCTCTCCGCGCACCCTCACTCGCCTGCAGCTCTCCGCGCACAGCCGCGCGGCATTCCGCGCGCCATGGCCCGCTCCACATGGGCGCAGCGCGCCGAGCGGGCCATGTGCTCTCGGGCCCGTCCTGCACCTTTCATGAGGTCGATCGGCAACCCCGCATCCACCCATCTCCCCACCCTCCACTCGCCCTACCCAATATTCCCCCACTTTCACACCCAACCACACCCTCTTCAACCCTTCTTCCCCCCTAACTACCCCGCGCTTCCCCCCCTCCCCCCCTCCCCTCCTCCCCCCATCCCCTTCCCCCTCCCCTCCCCCCTCCCCTCCTCACCCCCTCCCCTCCTCCCCACCTCCCCGCCCACCTCCTTCGCCCGTGCTCCTCACCTCTAGCGTGCGAACAGGGTGGCAAGCCGCCGTTTCCAGCGGCGCCGCATGCGGCTGCGTGCACTCCGCGATCGCGCGCCGCAGCGGCTCGGGCACCTTGCGGCTGCGCTGCTGCCGGCGCGACGGCTCCCGCGACAGAATGGGCCGCGCCGGCCGCGGGCCGCGCTCCATGGCTGCCGGCGCCAGGACGGCCGGCCAGACGGCGACCAATCAGAGTAAACCACGAGGCGCAACAGAAATCAATCTAATCTGACTCTACGACAGGTAAAACCTAATGTCACGATTGCAATGGCGGCGGGTTGCGACAGTGAGGTACGCGGGACGTACGGCCTACGACACGGGCCATTATTGTGGGTCCGTTGCGGGCGGTCGCATAAATGCTGGTTTCCCGCGGAATAAGTTGAATGGCTAGCTCGGCAGTGTGAGTAGCGTGGGCAGTTTGGTCAGCTCACGGACGTAAAGGACAAAATCCTGCTCCGATAGTACCGTACGGCGCTTTTGAGTCTGGACCATGACAATGTCGGGATTGATAAGATGTCATACACCCTTCTAATCACATACTACCTTAAATACTGGTAATGGCAACACGATGAGATGACACACCTATCCTAATGCATATAACATGCATCCGTTTTCTTTCCAGGAATGCTTCACAGATTAAAAAGAAAAGGCAACCAGTAGAACACCTTTATTTTACAGGCACGCAAATCCGTACACGAGCATTTTCAACATTTTCTATTACGGTACTTCCTAGGTGATAGCAGTAACAAAAAATTCATAGAGCAATACATGCCTTGAAGCCTTGCTCCAGCGCTGATGTGTTGAGGGACTTCCCTGCAAGCAAAAGTTGACAAAAAAACAATCCCAAGTGCAATGGCTGGCGAAACTGGACTGAAAGCACGCACAAAAAACAACTTGCCTGCCACCTGATTAGCAAGCAGCCCCCCAAGTGCTTGAAACATAACTTGGAGTGCACACAGCAGGGAGTGCACATGGCTTAAAAAGTACGCAAGCAGCAGAGCAGTAAGTGTGCTGTGCACGTACCAACGACGAGGACTCGGTTGAGGCGCTCCTCCCCGGCCGGCCATGGCAGCGCTGGCAGCACCTCATACAGCTCCCTCACTGCCTGGCCTCGCATGCAGTCATGGGGTCATGGGGTCATGGGGCGATGGGGTGATGAGGAGATGGGTTCGTGGTGTGATGGGATGATGGGGTGATGGGGTGATTAGACCATGCGGTCACATGGTGATAAAGGGACGAGATCATGCGGTCATGTGGTGATGGGGTGTGGAAGTCATGTAGCCATAGGTCAAGGGATTTGGCCGCAGGCAGCCGTATGAGGCGCTGCACAGAAATTCACAAGTCCAATTCACAGACGGTACCGGAAAGACGTGCACAGATTCACAAATCCCCTCACATGCATGACGCCCTTCATGCGGTAGATTCCCCCCCATAGCACTGGCTATTGGGACGCCCCCTCCCACAGCACTGCGCCAAGACTCATAGATTCACAGATGCACAGGTGGTACCTGGAAGACGTGCACCAGAGGGCTCCCTTGGACGTGCATGGCGCCCTTCATGCGGTAGATGTCTCCGTATTGTAACGCCCCCTCCCACAGCACCGTGCCTAACCACTCATCCACCTGCCACACACCGCAGCAGACACGGACAGGGGCGGAGGGGAGCGATGCAGGAGGAGGATAGAGATGGAGAAGGAGGGGGATGCAGGGGGGGCAGAGAGATGCAGGAGCGGGATGCAAATTGGTGAGGAAGCAGGGGTTTAAGTCGGCGGCAGTTGAGTTACATCTCAGTGTAACAACAGCGATTTGCATGCGTGCACGCGCGCATGCGTCACGGGAACCAGCGTGGAGGAGCGCACACACACACCTTTTGCAGGTGGACAGCGCCCGAGCAGGTGAAGGAGAAGGTGGAGATGGAGGCGTGCGTGCGAGGCACGGCCGGGGCTGTGTGCTCGTGACTGTAGGGCTGCTGTGGCTCGTGTGCCCCTGGGGATGCTTCTGCTGGTGACGCTGCTGGTGCTGGTGTTGTGGGTATGTGGTGCTTCATTGCATGGAGGATGTCGTGGCCTCTCTGCATGCCATGTGCGGCAGCAGCAAACAGGAGTGCATTTGTTGCCCATGCCACACATGCTCCACGCGCCACACATACCATGCAGCAATTTACAGGCAGCGATTGGCAAAAGGCACGCAGATGGGGAGGGAGGGAGGTGGGAGAATGAGGGAGGAGAGGGCGTGGAAGGGAACAGGGTTGGGGAGAGAAAGGGGGATGGGAGGAACATAATGGGGGTTGGGAGGGAGAGTAGGGAGAAATGTTACAACACGTTCAGTGAGGTCCTCGGGCAGAGCAGAAGCAGCAGCGAACACAGAATTCAGCGGCAGGATTGCTTGGCGTGCTAACGCATACACCAATGGCGCCAAAGCCGTGGCTCTGGCCATGTGGAATGACACTGGCCATGTGGAATGACACTGGCCATGTGGAATGACACTGGCCATGTGGAATGACACTGGTTCCTGTCCACGCTTCTCGTCTGCAAGTAATTTGGGGCAAGTGTTGAGGCGCCTCTTGAGTTGCCTTTCGGAACTTCTTTGGAAGCAACTCAGATTTTACCATTTTTAGCCGCATTTCGGGGTGCCTCAAAGATCGCCTCTTGCCACGCGGAGTTTCGGCATGTGAGAAGGCAACATGCGCCTTGCCCATGACGCCAATCGCAACACACAACGCCCAAAATCCGCATGCGCCCGTGCTGTGCCTGCCTCATTGATACAGTCACATGTCCACACCACACGCAGCAGACTCCCTGACATGCAATCCCACAAGTCCGTCCCACAGCCGCTCAACAGCCATGAGGAGCACCTGAGCGCTGTAGAGGCCGCGGTTGAGCAGTGCACGCACGTCCACCTGCGAGCGCACTGCCGTCACCACCTCCGCCCCCGCATTGATGCCCCGCACTGCCCCCACCACCTCCCTTGCCGCCGCCTCCCTCCCTGCTGCCTCCCTCCCCGCGTCTCCCTCCGTGCGCGGTGCATCATGCGGGCTCGCCTCGGGGTGTGTGGGTGCACGATGATCATGTGGCGGCAGCAGGTCGAGCTTGTTCACTATCACCACGTCCTGCCTTGCCATGCATGCAGCACAGACGGGGGAGAAGAGCCGGGGGAGGGAGGATGTGGTGCTGAGACAGGGGGAAACATAGCGGGAGGTGAGATGCCGGGGGGGGGGGGGGAGCAGCGGGAGGGAGAGTAGTGGGAGGGAAGCAGGGGGGAGGGAGAAGAAGGGAAGGGGAGGGGGTTGGAGGGAATCGGGGGCATTGGAGGGAATTCCGGTGTCGGAAAACGCAGAGGCAGAGAGGCACACTCACAGCCCATCCACTCGCGGCCCGTCCACTCACGGCCCCCTAATTACAGCACTCTCACTCACAGCGTACGCGATTTGCTGCAGCAGAACATCCTCCACCCCCTGCTCCCTCGCCCTCTCCTCCGCCCCATGCGCCCCCACTGACTGCCGCTCCGCACCCAGCCCCGCCTCCTCGCCCACATCCCCCGCTTGCTCCCCCTCCCTCTCCCCTTCCCGTTTCTGTGAGCCAGCCGGGTGCGATTGGGCTGCAGGCAGGTCGCTGGAGTGATTGTGGGCGGGGGAGGACAGGCAGCGCTGGAAGTTGCGCGCGTCCACTAGCTGGGGGGATACAGGGGCGCGCAGAGGGGTGCAGAGTGGTGATGAGAGAAGCCGATGGGCCCAGCAGGATGGGATGTGGTGTTGCGTGTTGGGTTGTGGTGGGGGGCCCAGCAGGGTATGAAACGGATGCAGAATGGGAGAGGGATAGGGTGAGATGGCAATAAATACCGGATAGGGTGGGCTGATGGGGCAATGTGCAGCAGTGGTGGGGCATGGCTATAACGTGAATCAAAAGCATATGGTATGATATTCAGCAGTGGTGGTGGTGGCGAGGGGATGGGCGTGAAGCACTGATGGAAGCTGAGTGAATCGGGCACAGACTGTATGTATCTCCCACAGAGGACTTTTGAGACGTCTCAGAAATCAGACACAGTCTCACAGACTGTGTCTCCCACAGCGCATGGACAGGACAGCATGGACGGAGGGAGTGAGAGCAGTGTGAGTGCGTGGGAGAGGATGGATGGAGGTGGCAACAGAGACAGGGCGGAGGGAGGGTTGCACAAGACATGAAGGGAGGGGAAGACGTGGGGATGACAAGGCGTGGGGTGAGGGAGGGGAAGGGAAGTAAAACATGAAGGGAGGTGAATGGGCAGTGACAGAAGGAAGCAGCAAGATGGGATGTTGGAGGGGGAGAAGCAGACACAAGGAGAGGATATGCGCGGGATGAGGGGAGCGAGGGCATGAGAGGGCAGCGAACGAGAGAGGCCAGGGACGAAATGGGAGGGCAGGGGAGGGCATGCGAGGGCATGGGAAGGCATGGGAAGGCATGGGAGGGCATGCGAGGGCATGGGAGGAGTGTGAGCGAGGGAGAGGGAGAGGGAGAGGAAGAGGGAGAGGGAGAGGGAGAGGAAGAGGGAGAGGGAGAGGGAGAGGAAGAGGGAGAGCGAGAGCGAGTAGAGAGGGAGAGGGAGAGGGAGAGGGAGAGGTGGAGACAGTGATGAGGGCGTCGAGGCGGATGGAGGCTTCTAGTGCATCGTCCATCCAGAGCATGGCGACTATGGGCGCTGGATCCGCCAACCCCGTGGTCTCCAATAGCACGTAGTCAAACCTGCAATGTACCGTGCACACATGCCATGGCCACATGCAGGCATGACCTCCCGCATGCCATGGATGCATGCACGCGGTCATGGTGGCGCACTTTACATGCACATACGGCCCAATCTCCAACCCATTTCCTTGCCACATGCGATTCACGCAAGGTGCCCGGATGCTCCAAAGAAACGCCCTATGCCAACCACGCCCGCCCTCCACACACACATACATACATGCATGAATGCATGCACAGAAGCAAACATACACGCGAGTGAGCATGCACACGCACACACACACACACACAAAAGACCACACAAGCAAATAGAAATACAGAAAGACAAACAGAGTCCCAAATTAGCAAGGCAGACATAGGGGGGCGGATGGCAACATGACACGTGGCGTGATGATGCTACGTGAAACAAAACAAACAAACAAACAAACAAACATACAAACAAGCTATTAGCTTGCATGGACAAGTATGGCAATTGCAGCAAAGAAGGATCCAGGCAGGCTGGTAAGGATGGAAGCATGTGTGACAAGGAACAATTGCTCTTTGTACCGATTCAAGAAGCAATTTGGTTAGTAGAGACACGTGCAAGGAGAGAAGGCATCTTTGCCTCTTTGGGTGTAGTGCTTTTGAGAGGCAAAGAGGCACCCAGATACTGCAGCAGCCAGCTAGGGCATGAGAAATGAAGAGCGAGAAGAGATATGGGGCATGGGAAGGGGAACCAGGCAGGGAGGAAGTGGTACGATACGATACGATACAATGTGGTGTGGTGTGGTGTGGAGTGGAGTGGAGACTACAATACACACTGTGGGAGGCTGGCTGGCCACGTGCACAGGGCATGCGTTTCAAGGGCAGATAGATAAAAGAGCGACACAGAAGCCAAGCTGAGAGTCGCAAAGACGATTAGTGGAGACAGAGGGTGCTATAGAGGACTGACAATAAGGTTTGTTGGATGAAAAGCAGAGGCAGCAGCAGGTGCGGGGGTGGGTGGGGTGGGGAGAGTTCAGCTTCGCCTTTCATCAGCCACTGGCAGGCCCATGCCGTGCCGTGCATGCTGCATGCACATGTGAATGCGCACATGCATGTGCACGGCGGCTCTGTGCCTCATGGGCACACATGGCATGGCCATGGCCAACAGCCATGTACCATGCCCCGTGCCTCTCTTTCATCATCATCACTCTCCCATGTTGTGGCAGAGCACGGCATGGCATGGCAAGCCCCAGTAGTCAGTCGATACTCAAATCATCAATCTACAAAGTGGTTTTTTTTTTTTTTGTCTGTCAAAAATACTTAACAGAGAGGCATCAGCGGCAGCAGCAAGGCCATGCCCAGACCAGCACCGCATCACATCTTCCTTCACCCATCTCAACCGCGCTGCATACCACCACATCCACGCCAAACCAGCACCATGACCCCTCGAGCACATCCCTTGCGCCTCCTCTGACTGACATACCTCACTGCCATGCCTAACTGCCGAGCCTAGCCAAGTGCACCCATGCCTCACATTCTCCACCCAGCCTTTCCCCCAGCACAAGGAGTGGTGGTTGTGGCATGGCGCCACTGTTAATGCGCATTGCTGCAGCCGCAGCAGCTGCTGCTGCTGCTGCAGCTATCGCTGACACGCCCCCAATGGGACTGTGTCATAACCACGTCTCTTCATCCACTCGCCAGTAAGAGTGCGCACCATGCATGCACCAGCATGGCATGGCACGGCACGGCGTGCAGTCTCACGGCTTGTGTCAGACTTAAACTAATGAGATGTGGATCCATGTGCAAAGAGGATGGGGCGCGGAGGAGGTAGGTGTGTGAGGACGATAGGGCACACCAACAACAACAACCGGGCCGACAGGCAGATGGGCAGGCAGGCAGCAGGGTGGCAGGTGGCAGGGGGGGTGTGAGAGCTCTGGTCTGGGGTGCAGGTGGGTAAGGCTGCGTGCGTGGAAGTTGCTGGCACACACAGAGTGCGAGATGGCGAGGGAGGGAGGCGGCGGGCACTGGTGGGCTGGGTTGTGCTCATTCATCATGTGCCGTACTGCGCTGCAATGTGCACCCGTGACCCGTGTGCCCTGATCTGAGAAAAACACACACTTGCTGCTGGATGCGCTGTGCTGCACTGCTGTGCGCTGTGCTGCACTGCTGTGCGCTGTGCATTGTGGTGCATGCATTGGAACCAAAAAGGGAATGGCAAGGTGCGGTGCGGTGCGGGCGATGACAGGGCACCCGTGAGGCAAGTGCATCGGCGACTTGCAGCGGAGCCGCCGCTGCTCCCAATCGGACGCATGAGATGCACACAGCGATCCAGACTGGCATCACATCCAGCCCGATGCTTCCCTTCCCTGTCCCTCATCTTCTCAGACGTCTCACAACTCCCATAGCTCCCACCCACTCACCACCCATCACACACACACACACACACACACACACACAAAACACCACCATCACCACCACCACCACCACCCACCCACCATACGCACACCCCACCACCCACCACCCACCCACACCCAACCAAACAAACCCGCGGGCAGCAGCATTGCACACGCGCACCTGTCTCTGCAGGTGAGCAGCTGTTCGAGGGCGAGCACGAAGGAGTGCTTGACGCTGCAGCAGATGCACCCGTTGCCCACCTCCACCCACTCCTCCACCACCGGCACCTCCGCCAACGCACTCAGCTGCTCCTCCCCATCCCCCTCGCCCTCTGCACCACCACCACCACCGCGAGCACCAGCAGCAGCAGCAGCAGCAGCGTTGGCGGATGTTTGAGCTGCTGTCCCCTGGCTGGGGTGCACAAGCGCCTTCTCGATGCCCAGGCGGTCGCCAAAGTCGTTGAGAATCACGGCGATGCGCAGCCCGTGCTTCTGCGACAGGATGTGGTTCACTAGCTGCTCGCACAAGGGGTCGCTCGCTCCAAGGGGGACGTGGGCGGGACGGGAAACGGACGGGAAACGGCCGCTTTAAGAGGCGAGCATCACACAGGCGGGTTGCATACACATCTCCTCTTATTATTGTCGCAGCCCCAGCTTCACACAGGAGGGAGTTATTGAAGCTGGGGCTGCGACAGAGGACACGGTTCGAGACGAATAAGAGGAGGAGGAACGGGTGAGACCGTGAGGGTGATAAGAACCCACACGATTGAGTCATAGATGGATGTATTCATACAAGCAGGAAGGGGGACCGAGAGGAGTGTGGGAAAGAACAGGAAGTGGGCGGGGGGAGTGGAGCGGGGGAGGGGAATGGAGGAGTGGAAGGGGGGGAATCAGAGAGGCCGCGGAGAGGGCGCGGAGAGGGCGCGGAGAGGGCGCGGAAAGGGCGCGGAGAGGGCACAGAAGGCACGGGAGGGCGCGGGGCCTTACGGTGGTCTTGCCGGCTCCTAGGAACCCCGTGATGATCGTAATCGGCACCGCCTCGCGCGCGCTGCTCCCCGCGGGATCCTCCCCTCCGCCAGCCTGAGATGCCACCCTCGGTTCTCCTTCCCCTTCCCCCTCTCGTCGCCTTGCGCCGTCCAGCCCCGCGGCAACGTCCCCTTTCTCCGCCTCCCCCTCCGCCTCCGCTTCTCCGCTCCCCGTCACGTCCGCGTCAAACCCGGGGAGCGGCACGGCGTCCGGAATCTCGTCGTCGTCGTCGTCGTCGTCGTCGTCGTCGTCGTCGTCGTCGTCGTCGTCGTCGGCGGCGGCGGCGGCGGCGGCGGCGGAGACGCCATCATCCGCATCCACGGCACCTCGCGCGGAACCACCATCATCCGCACCTCTCCCTTCCGCTCCCCTCCCCACCGCTCCGCCACCCTCGCCGTCGCGCCCCACATCCAACCTGGAAACCGACGCGCCGTCTGCCTCTCTCTCCTCCATGCCTCGGTTGTGAAATCCTCCCCGCCCCCCTCTCACTGTGAAACCCCCCCAGCTGTCAAACCTTCGAGAGCACTCGCATTCGCAGCGCAGCGCGGTGTCTGCTAGCGTGTGGCAAGGAGGCGCGAGGTATTTATCTTACTACAAGAGGCACGCAGCGCATACACGTTGCCGCGTGGCTGCCACGTGGGCGTTCGAGGACGAACGACGCGGGTGAAACTCAATATTTGACGAGGCAGACGGGGGTACGGGGGTGCGTGGCACTTCAATCGCGTTGTTGTGTCCGCTTAAGCGCCGCGCTGATGCGCCTATCGGCGCGCTGTGGGCCTGCGATACCTGCAGCAGAGCTCAGGGGGAGTAAGAGCGATTGGCGGAGCCAGGACGAGCCCACAAGTCATAGTGGGGCCTACAAAGCCCTGATTCTCACTGCTCTTATTCGCGTTTGTGGAAGATCGGACAAAACTAAAAATCTGCAACTATCTAAACAGCACTATGGCATATATATGCGGAAACTAAGAACAGCTAATGAGCCTCAGCCACCCAGGCAAGCTGGCATGCTGAGCAACCGATTAGCTGCCCCAATACAGGACTTGCATGTGGATTCTTGCCACAAATAATCAACTTCCGTAGCAACATCCTCAATAGATGACTGGGAGATTTGTCCCTGAACAAAACAAACTCCTTCCCATCCCACCCGCCCTCTGCTCCCAAAGCACAGTTGCGATGTCTGAATTGTTGAATGCACAAAAAAGGGCTGCACAGCATGACCCATCCGTCAGGAACTCTTTACATGGCTTATTAGTATCTGGCGAGCCACAAACTCTTGCAGCTGGGCTGGTGTGATGTGAATGCCCACCAGACCACACCAGTCACGTACAAGCACATTCCTCAGCTACTCCTTATCGGTGCCACCCACCCACCTATCATGACATGGCACTCCAGCATGGGATGCGATGGGCGTGCCATCCATGCTGCTCTCTTTCCACTCCCACCCTACAACCTCGGCCACGCCAGCCCTGTGTCCAGCCCAACCCACATCACCGTGCCCTTCCTCCCTCCAACCACCCACACACGCCACGAAAAGAGTGTGCTGTACACTTAAGATTTTCAAAGCTCAGCACCAACACCTTGGGTTCACCATCACCCGCTGCTCATCCCCACACACACCCCACCAAAACTCAAGAAACACCCAACAACGTGCCTATATCGAGTCAGGCTTTAAATACACCTCAGAAGCTCAAACCTCGTACCCCGGGTTAACCACCTGCTGCACGTCCCCATACCCCACCAGCTCATCAATATCCTCGGGACTGCCCAGGAACAGCGGCAACCGCTCGTGCAGCTTCCCTGACGGCTTGATATCCAGAATCCTCCTCACGCCATCGCTGCCCTTCCCCCCGGCCTGCTCCGCGAGGAAAGCGAGCGGGTTGGCTTCGTACAGCAGGCGCAGGTGCGAGCGGGGGTTCATGGCAACGCCGCCGTAGAGGAGTGTGCGGTGGAAGTCGCCTACGAGGGAACAGATGTAGCGCGCTGAGTACTTCTTGCCCGACTGCCCCTTGCCCTGCCGGATGGCGTCGATGTAGCGCCGCAGGCCGGCCGGCCAGTCAAAGTAGCGCGCGTCGTTCACCGAGTAGATTTGGCCTGTGGGAGGGGCAACAGGGGGTGGCGGGTGGGGAAAAGGGGCGGAGGAGGGGGGTGGAAGGGTGAGGGGTGAAGGGTGAGGGGTGAAGGGGGGGTATGGCAGGGGATTGGTGCATGTGTGATGTCTCTGTGTGAGGTTTGTTAAGACTGACTGTTTACAAATGGTAGAGCACACGGAGGAGTGGGTGGGCAAACACAAGGGAGGGGAAGCAAGAGTGTGTGGTGAAAGTCCAGAGCAGCATCAACAGCTCATCGGGGAAGTTGTGGTGGCAGTATGTTAGGACGAGATTCACAACCAGACATGACAGCAGAACATCGCGAAAATCACTCACACCAGCATAGCTTGTTAAGCATGATGGTATGTGTGCGTAAGTGTGCATAGTTGTGCATAGGTGTGCATAGGCGTGCATAGGTGTGTATAGGCGTGCATAGGTGTGCATAGGTGTGCATAGGTGTGCGTGCATAGGTGTGCATAGGTGTGCATAGGCGTGCACAGGTGTGCATGGACCTGCATGAGTGTGCTTACATCCAGCTCATCCTCTTTCGCTCCGCTGCACAACGCCCCATATTCCCTTCCTCAGCACCACCCACAGTCAGCCCTGGAGTGAGCGGGAGCGCTGCAAGTCCAAGTGCTCATACCATGCGTGCTGCAATGTCCCCATCCCCACCTTTTCTGACACATAAACATGCCCCGCCTAATTCCTCCTTCCCTACTTCTCCCTCCCTCCCTCCCTCCATCCCTCACTCACTCACTTCCTCCCCTTCCTCCGTCATTCACTCACTTCTTCCCCTTCCACCCTCCCTCCTTCCCTCCCTCTTCCGTCCCTCCCTCTCGCCTTACCTCCCTCCGTCCCTCCCCATCCCTCCCCCCCCCTCCCCTAACACACACACCCCCACACCCACACCCACACCCACACCCACGCCCACATCCACACACTCCACAGCTTACCTCGGGTGGGAATGCGCATGTCACGGGCAGTGAGCAGCCACTCGCCCGTGCTCTCATCCAGCGTGAACGCGTGCGTGCCTTGCCCCACCGTCAGCACCGCCACCACCGCAGACGAGTACAGCACATACCCACCCGCCACCAGCGCGCGCCCCGGCTGCAGCACCGCAGCAGCCGCAGAGGAAGCAGCAGAAGCGTCAGCAGCAGCAGCAGCAGCAGCGGCAGCAGGCGGGGAGCGGTAGAGGCCCCAGATGGTGCCGGTGGGGATGCCAGCGTCGATGTTCCTGCTGCCGTCCAGTGGGTCGAACACGGCTGCGTACGGCGCGCCAGGAGTCAGCTCCACCACGTCGTTGTCCTCCTCTGATGCCGCTACAGACACCAGCCGCGATGCTGCCAGCGTCGCCTTGATGATGTCGTTCTGGGGACGAGTTGGGCGTGGAGTGGGGAAGGGGTGGGATGGGGGATGGGAGAGTGGGTGGGTGGAGTGGTGGGAGAGTTTCTTCGGGACGGGGGACGGAGGGAACAGGGACGGGGAAGAGGGGGGAAAGGTTGGGAAGAAAGCAGATGGTGGCAACGAGTAATGTTGGTGAGTATTAGGGGCGGGAGGAAGAGGCTTTGAGGGGTGCGGTGCGGGATCTTTCTCCAGCATCGCGGCTAGAGGAGCAGGCGTGCTAGAGGAATCGACTTATTCGTCGCGAGCGACTAGAGAAACCGGCGTACGGCATGCCACGATCTCATAGCACTCATCATAATCACGGTCACTCAACGTTTCGCGATCCTCACGCCAGCGCCCTTACCGCTTCATACCGCTCTCGACCACCCCTGCGTCGAAGGAACCCAGCCCTTACTGACACAATGTCGAGCGGTTTCTGCGCGTCGCCCGACTCGTTCTTGCTGCCGCTGACGCCGCTCAGCCTCGCTCCCATGGCGGTTTCGATGTTGAGGCGGCTCACGGTGACCGCGATGCGCTTCATCGCGTCGTGCAGCGTCAAAAGCAGCAGCACCAGATCGCTGTCGACGCCTCCCTCGCTCGCGCCCTTCCCGCTGCCGTCGTCGCCGGCCGTCGCAATGGACTCCATTAGGAACTCCTGCAGCGACGGCAGCGACGGCCTGACGACGACCGTCGCGTCGCCCTGCTGCGACTGTACGACTTGCATGGCGGGAGAGTGTCTGCGAAGAGGCAAATGCGATAGTGACTTGCGCGGATGCAAGGGTGCGGAGGAACGGCGGAGATGGAGGGCCTGTGAGGTAGAGAAATGGGAATGTGCGAGAGGGGTGCGCTGGGAGGCCCGAGAGAGTCCAAGCGTGCAGGGGAGAGGCGAGTGCGACACAGCGCAGAGCGAGACGAGCATCGTGGGAAGGGAACGAGATTCAGAGCTCGACTGTCTGCGGAGGAAATGGCGATAAGTGTTGGAAAATTGGCCAGCAAAGAAGAAATTAATTTTGTTGGAATGTGGGGAGGAGAGTGCGTGGTGGTGGCAATGGCAAGTGCTGCTGAATTGGGCAAGGGACGCACGGGGTGACGTAACTGGACAGAGTTGGTTTCGTCGATGGACTGACGAATTGGTAACTTCTGATGGTCTCCTCGTGTGCCGTCACAAAGTTTGGCGAAGACTTTCCTCCCCTTTCGCTGGCGAACGTGGTTGATTCTGCCAGGTGGAAATTGTCGAGGGGAAGTGGATAGGCTTCGAGTCCACTGGGGCTGAGAAAAGAGGGCTGTTGTTGCCCGGATATCAGGAGAATCAAAATCAAAATGTTTAGGAAAACCCCAAACACGAGGGGAGGTTGCGTTCTGTGGTCATGTCGATGAATCACTCCGAGGGATCAGGTCGGTTCCAAGTAAGTACTCTTAAGTAGAACACTTGGTGGTGGTCCCGCAACTTTGTATCACGCCACTGGAATACATCGTAGGCCCATGCATAGAAAACCACCCGGAAATTCCTCGCTGAATCCGTCAACTAGTCTGACCCCATGAGCAGAAGAATGCATGCAGGCACACAGCTGAGCAGATCCAGCAACAAGGCAGCCACCACTGCATCACTACCTCATCAAATCTCGCCCCTCACATTCTGCTTTGCAGTTCTTTCTCAACCATGGCTGCCTCTCTGGTTTCTCCCCGCGCGAGCCACGCGCTCTTTTACCTCGGGATCTTCGCCTGCGTGCTCATCCCGTCGCTCGTCCACGCTGCCGAGACGTGCGGCTGGAATCCTGAATCCGCGGAAGCCAAGGAATGGCAGGGCGAGTTCTTCCCCGCAATCCCCAAGATAGTCTACGAAGGCCCATCCTCCCGTAACACCTTCGCCTTTCGCTACTACAACGCGGATGAGGTCATTCTCGGCCGTCCGATGAAGGAATGGCTGCGATTTGCCGTGGCGTTCTGGCACACGTTCCGCGGCGACGGATCGGACCCGTTCGGCTCCCCCACGAAGCACTGGCCGTGGGAGGACGGCACCAACTCTCTCGCCATGGCTAAGCGCCGCATGCGCGCGGCGTTCGAGTTCATGTCGAAGCTCGGCGCGCAGTTCTGGTGCTTCCACGACCGCGACATCGCTCCGGAGGGCGCAACGCTCGCGGAATCCAACGCAAATCTCGACGAGGTGGTTGCGCTGGCGGCGGAGCTGCAGGCGCAGACGGGCATCCGCCCGCTGTGGGGGACGGCGCAGCTGTTCAAGCACCCGCGGTACCGCCACGGCGCGGCGACCAGCCCCGTCGCGAGCGTCTATGCATTCGCCGCGGCGCAGGTGAAAAAGGCGATGGAGGTGACGCACCGCCTGGGCGGCGAGAACTACGTGTTTTGGGGCGGACGCGAGGGGTACTCGAGCTTGGTTAACACGGACATGGGGCTCGAATTGGACCATCTGGCGAAATTCCTCGCCATGGCTGCGGATTGGAGAGAGAAATTAGGGTTCAAAGGCACGCTGTTGATGGAGCCCAAGCCGCAGGAGCCGACTAAGCACCAATACGACTGGGACGCCGCCACCACGCTGGGGTTTCTTGTGCGCTACAACCTCACGCGGCTCGACGCTGCTACAGGCACGCTAAAGCCGTTCAAGCTGAACCTGGAGTGCAACCACGCGACGCTGGCGGGGCACAGCTGTGAGCACGAGCTGGAGACGGCGCGCATCGCGGGCGTGCTGGGCGGCGTGGACGCGAACACGGGCGACGCGCAGACCGGGTGGGACACGGATGAGTTCCTAACCGACCCCGCTGCCGTGACGCGCGTGATGCTGGCCGTCGTGCGCAACGGCGGCCTGGCGCCGGGGGGAATCAACTTCGACGCAAAGTTGCGGAGGGAGAGCACGGACGTGGAGGACTTGTTCATCGCGCACATCGCGGGTATGGACGCGCTCGCACGAGGGCTGCGCAGCGCGGCTGCTATTATCGAGGCTGGGGACCTGGACAAGCTGGTGCGGGGGCGGTATGCCAGCTGGAAGGAGGGGATTGGTGCGCGGATTGAGAAGGGTGAGGTGGGATTTGAGGAGCTGGAGGCGGCGGTGATGGCGGATGGGGGCAAGGAGCCGGAGGTGGGGTCGGGCAAGCAGGAGCTGGCGGAGGCACTGTTTCACCGCTTCGTGTGAGGGTGGCCTGGCCAGGGATGGATGGAGGTTGGAGATTGGGGACATGTTTCATGGATTGGGACGATGGACACATGGGAGCTCTGTAAAGCAAAACGTGAAATGAGAACCAGGGCGGCTTCTGGTCTGGTGCCTGTTTAGCTGTCCTTAGGCTATGGAGGCATATCCGGCGTGGTGAAATGCTGGAGGGTTCATATTCCATGGCGTCTATGGCGTAATGTTGACCCTAGGTACTTGTCTCTCAGGTTACTGCATGGATGTGTTTTTGGCTTGTTTGGCTTTGTTTAGTGGCTGAATTTTTGCTCACGTGTAAAACTTTGGCACTCAACTGCGCTGCATAGTCTCCACCACTGAATCTGGCCGTCCCAACATGTTAGGATATATGTTCATTTTGATTACACATGGTGCCAAAATACTGGTGGGTAATGTTATATTCACATTTTCTGCATCTACAATAAATTGCAAGAAAATGTTTGTTTAGCGAGTAGAGCTTGTTGGTGTATATATACATTTGGTCCGAAGACGGTTGGTGTGTTGTTGGACTTAGGTGGTCCCGCTTTCAGTGATTAACTTACAACCTTTCGTGGCCCAGAGTTGACTTACTGTGGTCCAGTGATGTACACGTCAGAATATCCCAACTGGGTCATTTTCTTGGCCCACTGACCTGGCGTGACGCAGACTTGTCGCCTCGCACTGCCCCATGGGAGCTGTATCCGGATCGCGCTCACCAACTGATGACAAACGCCCAAGCGGCAGCCAAGCCTCCCAATTGGCGGATTATTGGCGCGCCTCGCCCCACCTCACGCTCATCTTGCGTGCGCGCATGTTCGCATTCTCTTCCACTACATCCATCTCTCTGCTCGCACCAACCTCGCTGCTTCTCTCCCCGTCAACTCGGCACACTCACAGTTTGCCCCACCTGACATGGTTAGCCCAGTCACCACCCCACACCCGTCGGCGTTAGATTCGTTCGGCGCTCGTTCAAGAATAAGAAGCGCTTGTTTTCCGGTTGCTGGCATTGGGGATCCCACGTGCTGATTCTTGTTTTCTTCGCCGTTCATATTCATCGCTGGTCACCTGACGAGGGAGTGCTTGAATCTCCTTTCAAAGTAGTAGTATTAGTAACCTTACCAGTTGTACTCTCTCGTCACCACATTCGAGTTGGACATGTCGACAACTGCTGCTCCCACGGCCAACGGGTTGACGCTCCTCGACGTGCGCGGGAGGAAGGTGTGCGAGAACGACACGACACCGCCGATCAAGGCATCCACCATGGACGAGCTTCACCGGCTGCAGAAGAAGAAGTCCAACCCGACCACGCCAAGGGGCTCCACGGGCGGCGATCAGAACGGCGAGAAATTCCAGCAGCAGCTCGAGTCTATCAGGTGAGCGACCGCGCAACGCCTCCATTTGGTTGACACTCTTAACATACGTGTGTGGAAGGAACGACGTGTACTAGAAAAGGTAGTCTTATCATGAATTTCCCGCCGTATTTCTTGGTGGCAGTGCGTCTCTGGCATCTCACGTGCGGGAGCACGGGCCCAAGATTGTGACGAGCAAGTGCAAGCCGGCGTCGCAGGGCCACAGGGCGGTCGCTCCGTCGCAGCCGTGCGTCAGCGACAGCTCGCTCAAGCTCACGCACGTGCTCTACAACCTGTCGCCTGCTGGTCAGTGCGCGTCCCGAAACACGCGGGACTCGGGACTGGGATGAATGGTTTTTCTGCAAGCGATTACGTAACATGACATTCAAAAAGTTTTGTTTCGTGTGGAGCTGCTCGTCCTCCTGGCTGATTTCCCGTGTTTCTGTGTCGCTTGTGTCCTTCAGAACTCTACGAGCAGGCGATCAAGTACGAGAAGGGGTCGTTCATCACGTCGTCCGGCGCCTTGGCGACGCTCTCGGGAGCCAAGACGGGGAGATCGCCCAAGGACAAGCGCGTCGTCAAGGAGGAAACGTCCAGCGACGACCTGTGGTGGGGCGAGTAAGTGCTCAGTGGTACCGTACCACCATCGCCAGTAATCCTGCTGCAGCTACTGTGTTTTCTTTTGAGATGCTTCTCCTGACGAGCTGGTTCACGTGGTTTGGCTTTGCAGGGGGTCGCCCAACATCGAGATGGACGAGGAGACTTTTCTGGTGAACCGCGAGAGAGCTGTGGACTACCTCAACTCGCTCGACAAGGTACGCTTTTCAATCTTGCTCCACAAACGCTGCTTGGAATCTGCAGTTGTTAGTACAGTAGTGGTCACTGGGGCGAGCTGAACGGATCTAGACTCTGGAGGAATCTGATTTGTTGTTTTTGTGTGCCATGTGTGGCTTGGTTTCGGATGTGCGTGTGTGGTGCAGGTGTTTGTGAACGACCAGTTTCTCAACTGGGACACGGAGCACCGGCTCAAAGTGCGCATCGTCTCTGCACGCGCCTACCACGCACTCTTCATGCACAACATGTGAGTCGCTCGCTGTCACTATGCAGTGCACACACCGCGTCTGTGGGGCCTTAACCTTCAGCCCACCTTCTCAAAGCTGGGCATAACCATAAACAGTGGTTTTTCTTTCTGCCACCCTTTCTCTCATTTCCACACCCTCCTGGAATGTGCTTCTAGTCACAGTGCTCCACACATCCCGCTGTCGTTTCCTCACCCGCCTCCTCCTCCGTGCCTCGTTCCCCCGCCCCACTCGCAGGTGCATTCGGCCGACAGCAGAGGAGCTGGAGAGCTTCGGCAAGCCGGATTTCACCATCTACAACGCGGGGCAGTTCCCGTGCAACCGCTTCACGCACTACATGACGTCGTCCACGAGCATCGACCTGAACCTGCAGCGCAAGGAGATGGTCATCCTGGGCACGCAGTACGCGGGCGAGATGAAGAAAGGGCTCTTCTCCGTCATGCACTACCTCATGCCCAAGCGTGGCGTGCTCTCGCTGCACTCTGGCTGCAACATGGGCAAGGCGGGGGATGTGGCGCTCTTCTTTGGGCTGTCGGGCACGGGCAAGACGACGCTGTCGACGGACGAGAACCGGGATTTGATCGGGGATGACGAGCACTGCTGGACGGACAACGGCGTGTCGAATATAGAGGGCGGGTGCTACGCCAAGTGCATCGGGCTGTCGGCGGAGAACGAGCCGGAGATCTTCAACGCCATCAAGTTCGGCACAGGTACGGTGACCGGGTTCGGCTTTGGTGCTTAGCGCACCATTTTCCATCAATTTTGCGTGTTGCTTCCCTCGCCTTTTAATGAATCCCTGCTTCCCCTGCCCAGTCTCCTCGTCGCCTCTTGATCCAACCCCAACATGTCACCTTGCTCCCATATCTCACCACCGCTCCACGCGCTCCCTACTGTGCTCATCTATCCTGTCCTCTGGTGCAGTGTTGGAGAACGTGGTGTTTGACGAGCACACACGCGAGGTGGACTACGACGACAAGTCGGTCACGGAGAACACGCGCGCGTCCTACCCCATCGAGTTCATCCCCAACGCGCGCATCCCCTGCGTCGGTCCGCACCCCAAGAACGTCATCCTGCTCGCATGTGATGCGTTCGGCGTGCTGCCACCCGTCAGCCGCCTCTCCCTGCCGCAGACCATGTACCACTTCATCAGCGGCTACACCGCGCTGGTTAGTAATCACTTTGTTCACTTCGATCCGTCTTCTCATTGCAGAGTTAGGGTTTCGTTGCCTCGTAGCGACCAGACACACCTCTCTGCCCCATGGCTCGCCAACTTCTGACATATCTTCTCTTCACAAGTCTGCACCGCAGTTCCCTGACCGTCCGTCTCATCTGCCTCCCGTTGCTGCTCTTCTACTCCCCTCTACTATTCCGCTCCCCTTCTCCTCTCTCCGCACTTCCTCTCGCTGTGTCTGCAACTCGCGCGTGCAGGTGGCGGGCACGGAGGACGGCGTGAAGGAGCCGCGCGCAACCTTCTCCGCGTGCTTCGGCGCAGCGTTCATCATGTGGCACCCCACCAAGTACGCCGTGATGCTCGCGGAGCGCATGCAGCGGCACGGCGCGACGGCGTGGCTGGTGAACACGGGGTGGTCGGGCGGAAGCTACGGCGTGGGGCAGCGCATGAAGCTGAAGCACACGCGCGCCATCGTGAACGCCATTCACGACGGCTCGCTGCTCGACGCGACGTACAGCGCGACGCCCATCTTCGGCCTGCAGGTCCCGAATGCCGTCAACGACGTGCCGTCGGAGATTCTCATGCCGCAGAACATGGTGCGTGCGCGCCGCACTGCGAGAGTAGTAACCCTTCTCGTTGCCTCCATGTTGATAGGATCTTGCAAAATGGTGTTCCTGGCCCCGCAGACGTGCTGTAGCTGGGTTCCTTCCATAGGCCCACATTTCTCTGCGCTGTGCAGTGGTTCTCGATGCTCTCGATCTCCTCGCCCGTATCCTGTGGTTTCCCCCGTGCTCGCTCTTAACCTCCTTGCCGTGTATGTTTTCGCGCGTACTATTTGGCGCAGTGGGAGGACAAGGCGGCGTACGAGGCGACTCTGGTGAAGCTGGCGCGGCTGTTCCAGGATAACTTTAAGAAGTTCGCCGAGTATGACGGCAACGGAAGTGACGGCAAGCTTGCGGCGGATATTCTCGCTGCGGGGCCGCAGCTCTAGGGAAGAATGGATTGACGAAGTGGGGGTGGGGGCGAGGTGGTTTCTGTACAGAAGTGGTGGTGTGTGGTGCTTGTACATTAATTTTCAAAGCCATATGTGTATTTAGGGCGACGTCAGGTTGTACAACTTTTTGCACGCCCACTGCGGTTGACTTCGTTTCAACACGGTGAAGAACGGTAAAGAGAACCGCTTTTCACCGATTTAAATCGTTTTGAACCACGACACAAGAACTGTAAACCTGCGAGAAATGTATAACATGTCGTCGCCCTTAGTTCACTCTCAATTTTGGGCATATTTTTGGCCATACAAAGATGGTTATATTCTTTCCAGAACGTATAATCTGTTTTCACATAACTTCAATCAACAAAGGAGGGATGGGTTCTTGAAATTCAAGACTTAGAAAACATTTGTTGGTGACGTGACACGTACAGCTTCACAATCCCCTCTGGTTCCCTGGCCAGAAACTTGGTGGGTGTTGGACACCTTCAGGTCCACAGGGTTACAATCACCTTTCCAGCACACGAGAGGTTTGCGATTCTTCGTCAGATCCCTCCACACTGCACACTGCGTCCCTCCCGGTAAATGCGTCTAGTCATGTTAGTGCATCGTGCGTATGTCGGTCACTCACCCATATGTCGCTCCTGTGGCACAACCGTCTTGGTCACCCTTCGCTCCCGCGTCTCCATCAGATGTCTAGGCCCGATCTTGTGTCAGATCTCCCGCACTTGCTTCCTCCGCTCCCTCCTTGTCAAGAATGAAAGTGTTGGTTCATTGATGTGGGTGTTAGAATGGGCTAAGCTACTAGCGGAAGCTTTAGTAGTCTTAGAAACTCCTCATAAAGCCTAGGAATCTTAGGAGCCCACTTGGGCATGAACCATGCTAGAACCAAAGTGGTTTCCAAGAAGTAAAGTTCCAACAAGAGAGAACCCTAACCTTAAGGGTTTGGGAGGTGGTCCACTCTATAGAGTGTACACCACAAGCTATCCCAACCCAACCAATGTATTCTACACTACTATAGTGTAGATGTATCACTACATATGTTTATTGGAGCAACCTGAATTAACCTTAATTCCAACACCCCCCCTTGCTCCAATAAGCATTAAAGTTCACCCATAAATCAAAACACAACCCCTCTAGCGAATGAAGCCTTGGCCTTCGCAGCCATCACTCGCATGCCGATGCGCTCCAGGTTCTCATGCAGCTGCAAGCTTGGAAGAGCTTTGGTGAGCATGTCGGCATCCTGGAGGTGGGAATGTACTGAGTGCACCTCGACCTCCTGCTGGCGCACCGCATCCCGTACAAAGTGTCATGCCACCTTAATGTGCTTGGTGCGCTGATGGAGAACGGGATTGTGGACAAGGGAGACAACAACCTCATTATCATAGAGAAATGTAATAGCCCCTCCCTATCCCCCACATGCATATCTGCCAACAAACTCTTCAACTAAATGGCCTCCTTGGCCCCCTCCGATAGAGCTTTGTACTCAGCTTCAGAAACGCTTGCTACGACACTGTCTTGTTTTTTGCTAGACCAGCTGATTACTCCTCCTCCCAGCTTAAAGATGTAGGCAGAGCGACTCTTGCCACCAGTCTCACCACCCCAATCCGAGTCTGTGTACCCAACAACCTGCTCACTACCTTGGCGCTCATACCTTATGACACGATCAGGTGTGTCGACCAAGTACCTGAGTGCTCTCAGTGCAGCGCGCATGTCAATGCGTCGTGGTGCCACGCAGGACTGTGCAAGGGTGTTGATAGTGAAAGACATGTCAGGACAGGTGGTCACATCAGCATACATCAAGCTGCCAATGAGACTCTGGTACACCTTGACATCAGCTGCAACACCTTCCTCAGGCGACCAAGTACCATTTCTGATCTTAGAGAGATCATTGGGCGACATTGGAGTATGCACCCTATGGGTCTCCTTCAGCAGATCACCAAACCTTCCCTGGAGACAACGGACATACTTCTCCTGACTAATCTCCAACCACCCATCCTTGACTAACCTACGAACCTCCACACCAAGGTACGTGGATACCTCACCTAGATCCTTCATCTGGTACCTCTGAGCAAGCACCTCCTTGACCTGATCAATCAGCTCCAAGCGTGGAGACACAAGCAAGAGGTCATCCACATACACCAATACATACACTGGCTCTTCATCCACAAACCTGATGTACAGAGCCTCATCACATGCACTGCGGTCAAACCCTGCTGCAATCAGGGTGGTACCAATCTCCTCATTCCAAGCACGAGGCGCTTGCTTGAGCCCATAGAGAGCTTTGCGCAAGCGATATACCCTACATGTACCATCATCAAATCCCTCAGGTTGCCTCACATACACCTCCTCTTGAAGGACTGCATTGAGGTAAACATGATCAACATCCTCCTGTTGTACATGCCACCCCTTTTACCGCGCCTTCTGCAAGAAGCACCCAACCTGAGGTGAGCTTGCCCACAGGGGCAAATACCTGATCATAGTCCTTTTCGGGCTCTTGAGTGTACCCCTTAGCAACAAGGCGAACCTTGTGCTGTACCACCTTATCCTCCTTGTCAGTTTTCCTGCGGAAAACGTACCTGACCCCAATGGCCTTCTTACCTGAAGGTAAGTCGACCGGCTCTGGATCCCATACACCCATAGTGCGCATTGCATTTACCTTCTTCTCAGCGCCTGCCTTCCACGCAGGGCCCTAAGGGCCACGCAGGGCCTCAGCGAGTGTGCGTGGGACATCACCGGTGCTCACACCTGCCAGTGCAACACCTTCCACCTCCCTGGCCAAACACAACATGCCCTCAACCACACCAGCACCCCCCCCTACCTCCTCACCACCTGTACCAGACTGGATACCAAGCACATGTTAACTCATAACCGGTGGTGGGGAGGTAGTCGCTGGTGACGGAGGGGCACCCGTAGAGAGAGGGACAGAGCGCTGACTAGAGAAGGAGGAAGAGGAAGTAGCATGTGTAGCGGATCTTCGCTTAATGACCGAGGGGCCACTGAGCTGCTGCAGAGGGGTGGGCAGCTGCTGCACCGACACACTCAGCGGTGCCGGTGGCAGTGATGAAGGTGGCATCTCAACGTCGTCAGCCGTTGCTGAGGGTGGCGAGAGTGGAAGAGGGAGGAGTTGGGAAATTGCAGCTGCATCCTGCAGAAGCTCCCCAAATCCCTTTGCCTTGTCCCAATCCTTCCACATCACATTCTCAAGAAAATCAACATCCCGAGCAATGCGAATGCGCATGAGAGAAGGGTCCAGCATGCGCCAACCCTTGCTCTCCATGTCCACCCCAACACGGACACACATGACAGCTTGTGCATCAAGCTTGCCGCCCTTCTCATGCCCATGCAGCATGACACTCCCCATGCAACCCCAAATCCGAGCCATGCCCACATGCGGCTTCTGGCCGGACCACACCTCCATTGGTGTGATGGAAGCAGGTAAAGCACTGGATCGTGTTCGTAGACCGGCAGCCGTGCAGTCACTAGCGTGCGCGTAGGTGACGCCGAGGTGATGGACACCCTGGAGGGACGGCTGGAGGATGCGAGGAGACGCCATGAGGCCCAGGAGTACGGGGCGATACCCTGGGCAGTCGTCGAGGCAGGACTCTGCTCCATGTGGGCGGCGGAGCACCCCCCTTCTCGGCCTGCCTCTCCTCGACCGGTGAACGACGATGGCGGCGTCGACGTGGGCGTCAACGCCAGTGGAGGCGAGGTCGGCAGCAGTGCGGGAGACACGTCGAGGCAGCGAGGTGTGATACACGCCGGTGAAGCCGACGACATTCAGGCGCAAGGGATGCAGTCGTCGGCGGCTGCAGGCTCCTCGCAGGGCGACGCCGGTGGGCGTCGAAGTGGATTGTCGCCGATGTCGGCGACCCAGGTGACGGCGGGCGGGATTGCACCGAGCTATGGCTACTTCAAGTTAACGCCGGACAGGATCTCGGCCACCTCGCCGCTCGTTGGTTGACAAGACATCCTCACCTGGAAGGAAGTCATCGAGCCCCAGCTGGAGATGGCCGGGCTGATCGGCTTCGCCCGAGGGACCGTGGTGACGCCGGGGAAGCACCACCCCGACCTGCGTGCGGAGTTTTGCGCCGTGCAGTTGTTGACCTTCACGGTCATCTCGCAGTGCTGCTCGCCGGGCGTGCAGATCGCCTTGAAGTGGTGCCGAGAGTACCTCGACGCCGACCACCGGGCGTGGAACTTCATCAAGTCGACCTATCAAGTCACCGACGACTTGTTCATCGCCCAGCTAGAGGGACAGCTGACGCACCTGCGCATGGGGGACGAGGAGATGGCGACCGACTACAGCAACCGGGCCCGGCGAATTCTCGCCACCATCAGGATGGCCGGCGCCCAGTACTCGGCGGCGTCGTATGTCACTCACGTCATCCAGGGGCTCTCGAGCAGCTCCTGATTTCTTCCTCCCCGCTGCCTTCACCACGGTTTACGCCGTCGACGATGATGACCTATTGTACGACGACGCCGAAGAGGATGAGGAGTTTCCAGAGCTCGACCCCGACATGGTAGCCGACCCCGAGCACCGTTGGGACATCTCGACAATGACAGTGAAGGAGGCGTTGGCGACCTGGAAGGGCCCGGCGTGAAGGCCGCCAAAGAGGAGAAGATTCGCAGCCTCCTCAACATGGGAACGTGGGTACTGGTCGAACGCGCGCCGAGAGTGAAAATCATGAAGAACTGGTGGGTGTTGACGACGAAGTACCACATCGATGACACCGTCGAGCAAGAGAAGGCGAGGCTGGTCATGAAGGGCTTCAAGCAGGTGTACGGCGCCAACTACGACAAGAAATTCGCGCCGGTGGGCAGCTACGTCACGCATAGGATCTTCCTCAGCATAGTCGGCGTCCTCAACCTCAACCTGATGCAGCTCGACATGAAGAACGCCTTCCTGCAGAGCAAGCTCGACTGGGTGCTGTACATACACCAGCCAGACTACTTCAACGACGGATCCGGCCGGGTGTGCAGGCTGCTGAAGAGCCTATATGGGCTGAAGCAGTCGCCGCTGCTATGGTACTTGGTGCTCAACGATGTGCTGGTCGGCGCCGGGTGGAAGAAGAGCCAGGTCGACGAGGCTCTTTACTTCAAGGTTGGCAAGGACGGAGTGGCCTGCTGGGTGCTCGTCTACGTTGACGACCTGCTTGCCGCCAGCAACAGCGCCACGATGCTGACAGAGCTGAAGGAGCTGATGGAAGCCGCCTTCGAGCTGCGCGAGATCTTGCCGGTGCAAAAGTACCTTGGGCTGGAGATCGTGCGCGACAGGTCGGCGGGGAAGCTGTGGCTGCACCAGCAGGGCTACGCCGACAAGCTACGTAGGCGCTTCATCGACGAGGAGCAGACCATGCGCACCCCGAAGACGCCGGTCTCGGTCAACGCCTACGTCGAGCTCACCTTCGACGACGAGGACGCGCAAGAACGGCAGGAGGAGGAGTACCGGCAGAAGGTCGGCTCGTTGCAGTTCGCGGCGATGATGACGAGGTCGGACATCACCTTTGCCTGTAGGAAGTTGGGGAGCGTCCTCACGGTGAGGAGCGACCAGCACTGGCGCGAGGTCGAACGTTGCCTTGCCTACCTCGCCAACACACGTGACACCATTTTGGAGTTCGGCGGTGGACCTGAGTCGCTCGAGCTGGTCGGCTACGTGGACGCCGACGACGCCGGTGACAAGCAGAACATGACGAGCACGGGTGGCTACGTGTTTGCCTACAGTGGGGCCGCAGTCTCCTGGTCGAGCCAGCGCATCAAGTGCGCGACGCTGTCGTTGACTGAGTCGGAGTACGTGGCGGCCACTGAAGCTGGCAAGGAGGGAAGCCGCCTTCGCTTCCTCCTCGCCGAGTTCCGGCAGTTGGACGCCAGGAAGCCGACTGTCCTGCGCGTGGACAACAAGTCGGCCATCACGGTCGCTGAGGGCATGGGGTTGACAGGCAACCTCAAGCACATGGAGCGGTGACAGGCCTGGCTGCAGCACATGGTGAAGCGTGGGAAGTTCTCGCTGCAGTACATCCCGACCGCTGAGCAGCCAACCGACTTCCTGACGAAAGCGCTGCACTATCCGGCCTTCAACCGGTGCTCCGTCGCAATCGGCCAGGTGCGCTTGGTCGACATGGGCGACGGCGACAACAACGTGCAGCAGTAGGTGCCATGCTCTCTTGCATGGCTGGTGTGGTGAACGGCGTGCTGTGTGTTGGGTGCACGCCTTCGGGCTATTCTCGGAGCTGTACGGCCATGTGGGTTAGGGGCCCAAGCATGAACGCAGTAGGGGAGTGTCAACGGGAGCGTTGTAAGGCCCCGTCCTCGCTTGGGCGGAGCCAACCTTGTGGTTGGATGTGCGGGGGTTGCAACCGGCCTGCAGCAGTGGGCACGGGGGCCACTGCAAGGGCGCCAAGCTAGAGGGCTCTTGGCTAGAGGGCGCCGACCAGGAGGACGCCGCCTTGGACGCCTGGTTAGCGTCCAGGACGCATGGACGGCGTCCTGGGAAGCTGGACGCCGAGCTGGGCATCGCCAGGACTACCTGGGCGCCTGATCGACGTCATGGGCGCCTGTACGGCTTTCTGGAAGGCCAGACGCCGACCTAGGCGTCTGCACGGCGTCCTGGGGGTCCGGACGCCGACCTGGGCGTCCCGGGGGGCCCACACACCGACCTGGGCGTCTGGTCGGCGTCTTGGGAGGAGGGACGCCGACCTGGGGGTTCGGAAGGTGTCCTGGGCGCTTGGACGCCGGACTGGGGACGCCGAGCATGCGTGGCCGGCTACGCACTGTGCTGGTCGGCCAGGCGTGGTTGCCCGGTCGACCGGAATACCAGGGCGACGTGTTCGAGTGTCGCCAGGGTGGAGTATGCGAGGCCGACCTCAGGGGTGGTATCACGAGGTCGACGTGGCTGGTGGGTGCAGTCGGTGGCGTGGAGTTTGCCAGGCGTCTGCGCAGTGCTCGTGACAAGGTGTGGAGCAACAACCAGCTGCGCGCACCTGTGAAGCAGGTGCACTGTTGTCCTACGGGTGCAACGCTATGCAACCGACTTGCTGCAGCACTAGCACACCATGGACTTGCAACGTTGGCGAACCGCTACTCTGCAACGCTGGAGTGGTGCGAGCGCTGCTGCGCTGGAGGTCCACCAGCAGCCTAGCTAGCACTGATGGAGTCTGTGATACCAATGTTTTGCTACCATTATTGTCATGTTTTCCTAGTGAAACTCTTGCCAATTCTCCTCATGAACTACCAAGCAGCGTGAAAACAAGGAAACGACTAAGTGAACAAACGCAGAGATCACACGAGTACACGTGCCTAGCCCGTAGCCTAGCTCCCGTTGCAGCAGTTATCTTCGCAGAACTCGCCACCCCTGTCAGAACAAACAGCCTTCATCTTCTACCCTTACTCCAACTCCACGTCCTTATGCCACTAGCGAAGGACTTTTGCAACTGTGGCTGACTCCTTGTTGGGGAGGGGGAACGACCAAACTCGTCTGGTGAAGTCGTCAATAAGAGTGAGGACATACAGTGCTCCTCCTAGTGACGGTGTGCGCACTATCCCCCACAAATCCATGTGGACCTCATCCAAAAGCCCAAGTGCCCGAGACGCCTCATGGGGAAATGGCTTCCGAGCCGACTTTCCCAATAAGCAAGGCTCACAAAGGGAGCAATCAGTGCTCCCCCCCCAATCTCCAAGCCCAGTACAATGTTCCCCCGAGCCATCAGTTGCAATGTTGTGGGGGCGGTATGACCAAGGCGGCGATGGGCAAGGGTCAATGGGGAAAATGAGGAGGAGGACCCGCTGCAAGAGCACTGCCTTGTGTGCCCCGAGCAAGAGGAAGAAATATCCGCACCAATCTATGGTCCCTTCCCCTCTCCTTTTCTCCAATCGCCAATACCCGCTCCCCCGGTTGAAGGACACATTTCTTGCCCTTGAATATGAGAATGACGTCTCGAGAGGTGAGGTGTGGGACTGAGAGCAGACGCGTGTGCATCTCAGGCACAAGGTGGACCTTTTGAATCCTCAGCAGCTGACCTCCAGCACCAACCACTGGCACCTTACCCATGCCAACAGCTTTCACCACCCGTCCATCTCCCAATCTTACTCCCCGAACTTCTGGTGGCTGAAGTTTACTTTTGAAGTCTGACGCATAAGGAGTAAAGTTGGGGCTGGCCCCATTGTCAATCCACGACCCCTCTTGTTGCTGCTCCTCTCCCACTGCTGCAACTGCCTCTCCAACCACTGCTGCAACTGCCTCTCTAACCACTGCTGCAACTGCCTCTCCAACCACAGCCTCTGCCTTTTCATCCTGCTCCTCCTCATCCGCCACCTGTGCCTTGCCTTGGGACCCATGACCCCCCCACTTTAAGAATGCCGGAATGCCTCCCTTAAGTCGATGAGGACATCGCTGCCATGCATGTCCTTCATCCCAACAGCCATGACACAACCCCTGAGGAACCATGCCCTTGGACCCCTAGGGGAAATCAAGTACTCCCGCTTTGCCTTTCCCTTGACCCCATCTGCCCGAGTTGGTGTCACTGCTGCTACCGCTGCCTCCATGCTTTCCTCCCTTGTCCCAATTTCCCGTGCCGCTGCTGCCCACTTTCGTACCCGCTCCAAAGGTGGCTACACAATCCGATCTTGGTGCGACACCAATCCGCATCTCCTCGCTCTTCAAGGAGGTAAGCAGCTCATCCTTAGTGAGTGATGATGACTGCTTGTTCAGCACCACCTTCAGCATCTCAAAATGAGGAGGTAGTCCTTTGAGTACTCTCATCATCCACTCCTCAACCTCCTCCTTCCCTCCTGCAGCCAAGTACTTGGACCTCAAGTCCTCGGCACGCGCCCAGTATGCAGCCACTCCCTCCCCCTCTTTCATCTTCAATGAGGAGAGCTCCTCAGAGAGTGCCATCCGATTACACAATCCACGCTGAAGGTAGAACTCCTTCACTCGTGTGTATGCCGATGCTGTGCCTGCAGGAACCCGAGTGACTGCTCTTGCTCCGCCATCAACAGGTGCGCTGCCCAACTCGGTCTTGCCGCCGAACTCCCGTACCAAGCGAATCAGCTCATCTGGCACCAAGGCATTGCAAAATTGGGCGAATGCCTTCTGATTTTTCCTCTCCCACTTCAGCCGTGCATCACCCGTTGCAGGTCGCTCCTCCGAGTCGTCAAAGTACCCCCATAGATCGTGCACCTCTGCCCATTGTTTGAATCGGAAGCTCCAAGTCCAATAGTCGCTCCCATCAAACTTTGGCACACTCTCCAGCTTACCTTCGCCTGAGTCGTGATCCATTTGTGGCACAGGCACTGAAGATTGACGTTGAGGTGGTGGTGGAGGCAACGGCGGTGGCAGTCAAGACGATGCAGGCAGATTCACCCCTCTTGGTTTTTGGAGCGTAACTCCGCGCTCGAACCTCCGAATGATGAGTCGTTAGATTCTGATGAATCCTCGCTTTGAGCCCGTTCCAATGATGTATTGCGCTCTAGGATCCCACATCTGAGCTGTCCGCTTAAACTCGTCGAAGTTGGCCGAGTTTCCGTCGACGAATACTCAACCGTTTCGCCCGATTTTTGGCTTGTTGGATGCACCCTGGTGTCCTCTCTTGGCGCTCGCCCTCCAATTTCTTTTACGCGCTTTAAATTGTCCCCGATTTGCAATTTTCCAATTCGGCCGCTGGCAGTTTTTCGCGAATTGCGTCCGATCCGCTCGTCGATCGGTGACGACTTTGAGGCAATTGCTGTAGATCGTGCTGAGACCTTTCCAGCAATATGCTGCAAGTCTTGATCGGCCAAAGTTGTCTGAGCGCCTCTGTGAATGGATGTTGCTCTTCTCGTCCTCCTAAACGTATCCACACGATTTCCAGCAGTTTTCTTCTCTCCTCCTCCCTTCCCACGTCCAGAGTCCGCCATGGTGCAATTTCGGCTGCCTTTCGGAAGGGATGGAAGCTAAATAGCTTCCACCAAGATATCATGGTCCGATGTCTTGAGTAACTCCTATCCCAACAGATTGCTAGGCCTTCCTAGCTCTGATACCATGTTAGAATGGACTAAGCTACTAGCGGAAGCTTTAGTAGTCTTAGAGCCTCCTCATAAAGCCTAGGAATCTTAGGAGCCCACTTGGGCATGAACCATGCTAGATTCAAAGGGGTTTCCAAGAAGTGAAATTCCAACAAGAGAGAACCCTAACCTTTAGGGTTTGGGAGGTGGTCCACTCTATAGAGTGTACACCACAAGTTCTCCCAACCCAACCAATGTATTCTACACTACTATAGTGTAGATGTATCACTACATATGTTTATTGGAGCAACCTGAATTAACCTTAATTCCAACAGTGGGTTGGGGTACATATAATCTGTAACCCCTAAGACAAACCTCACTACAGGCTACAACATTTGACACACCCCCATAGCCTAAGTGAGGGGTGTCAAGCAAAACCAAAAGTGTACGGTCACAAGACCAGTCACAAAGAAACAAAGCCCAAGGTGGATCACAACGTCACCACACACTCTGAGCACAAGCAAAAGGGGCCACAAGGCCAGTTCGAGGGTTCACAAGTGTGCATAGCAAGAGTACAAGCAAAGCAAATAGTAGACTCAAGCCTATATACGAATAGAAACTGTGTCAACAAGGCCTAACTGCACACAACACCTCTGGTGGTCACGAGGCGAAAATGCCTTGGTGAAGATGTTTGCAGTGTTGGCCCCGGACTCCACAAACTCGAAGCGAGCCTGTCCACGTTTCTGCAACTCTCGCAGAAAAAAGTATGTGACGTTTATGTGCTTCACTCTGCTCTCCAGTTGCGGCTCTCGACAAAGGAGAATCGACGCCTTGTTGTCAGTGAACAAGGTCGGTGCAGAGCTCGGCCGCTCACCAAGGTTGGTGAGCAAGAAGGTCAACCAACGCAGCTCCTGTGCCGCCATGGCACTAGCTTAGATCTCGGCCTCAGCTGTAGAGGTCGAGACCGAAGAGGAGCGCGTGGACCGCCACGAAACAACTCCAGATCTCAAGCTGAAATAGTATCCCTGAGTAGACCTATGAGTCTTATCGTCGTCAGCGTAAGAAGAGTCATAGTGACCAGTGAGTACGACAGGCTGCTGCCCTCCAAGAACTAGCCCCACGCCTGATGTCATCGCTAGGTACTTCGCCACCCTCACAGTTGCCGTCTAGTGAACAGGACGGTGTCTCCCTAACGCAACAAAGCGAGCAAAGATGTTGAGTGGAAAGGCGAGGTCCGGGCGAGTGCAAGTCATCAGGTACATGAGGCAGCCCACCAGCTCTGCGTGGGGACCACACTAGACTCAAACGGCTCGTCAGGAAAGTGTCAGAAATAGTAGGCAAAAAGATAGAACAGGAAGGAGGGTTGCACCTGTAAGCAGGGCAGTACATATAGCAAACCCTAACAAGGTTGTACTCACTATAGAGTACCCAACTGCAGACTAGACAATTAAAATATTCTGACAAAAAGGGTCCAGTAAGTCTGTGGTCTTCAACAAGAGGTGAGCGCTGTACTGTGGATTGCTGAAGCTCGAACCGCTGAAGGACCTGCTGCACCATGTGTGACTGTGAGAGTGTAATGGTGCGAGCAGCTCTGTCCCTGGTGATCTACAGGCCAAGGTAGTGGCGCAGCTCACCAAGGTTAGTACATGTGTGTCCCTTCTGCAGTTCGGACTTCACGTCTACCAAGGCAGCCCAGTCAGCAGTGGCAAAAACTAGGTCGTTGACGTAGACCAGATAAAAGAACGGTGTGGAGCCATGATGAAGGAACAGCGACGGGTCGGCAGAAGATGGTTGGAACCCAAGGTCAGAGAGGGTAGAACGAAGAGTGTCGTGCCACTCACGAGGAGCCTGACGAAGACCGTAGATAGGTCGCCTCAGCCTCCACTGGGTGTCAGATTATTACAGCTGATGCATGTTTGTAGGCTATAGTGGGGTAGCACATATGGGGTACAGCTTTCTAGGGTTGTATTTGTACCCAACTCTGACTTAGTCATTTTCATTCCTGGTCATTTGTTTCACATGGTATAGAGCGAGTTCCCTGTGGGAACGTTGCCTAGGGCCCACCGAAGCGCGCCCCGAGGCGCGCACCTTTTTTTAGCGACCCCTCGAGTCGCCCTTTCCCTAGTGGCCCCGCCGTCCCTCAAACGCGGCCCCGCCACCCCTTCTGATCGCGGCCCCGCCGCCACGTCGCGGCCCCGCCACCCGATCGCGGCTCCGCCGCCCGCTACAAAGCGGCCCCGCCGCCTGCTCGACGCGGCCCTGCCGCCTGCTCTGACGCGGCCCCGCCGCCCGCTATGACGCGGCCCCTGTCGCCCGCTCAAACGCGGCCTCGCCGCCTGCTCGTCGCGGCCCCGCGGCCTACTCTAACGCGGCCCCGCCGCCCGCTACGACGCGGCCCCGCCGCCTGCTCTGACGCGGCCCCGCCGCCACTTCTTACGCGGCCCCGCCGCCACCTCTGACGCGGCCCCGCCGCCTGATCTGACGCGGCCCCGCCGCCACCTCTGACGCGGCCCCGTCGCCTGCTCTCACGCGGCCCCGGCGCCCACTACGACACAGCCCCGCCGCCGACTACGCTGCCGGCCCCGCCGCCTGCTCAGCCGCGGCCCCGCCGCCCTCTCTGCCGGCCCCGCCGCTCCACCAGCCGCGGCCCCGCCGTCCCCGCCGCTGCACCTGCCGGCCCTGCTACTTCGGCCCCGCCGCCCCTGGTCTCGCGGCCCCGCCACCCTACCTGCAACAGCCGAGCCGCCCACCTGCAGCAGCCGAGCAGCAGTGCAGCCGAGCCGCCCTGCACCCGAGCCGCCCTGCCGCCGAGCAGCCCGGGAGCCGAGCCGCCCTGCACCCGAGCCGCCCTGCCGCCGAGCCGCCCGGGAGCCGATCCGCCCAGCAGCCGAGTCGCTGAGTCGCCGAGCCGCCCTTCTGCAGAGTTGCCCGGCCTGCCCTGCCTGGTGAGCACAGTCCCACTGTCACTGCGTGCTCTTCCCCTACTGCTTGCACTGCTTCGCTGTCGTCGTCATGGCTACCCCTAGTGTCCTAGCTTTTGACGCTGAGGGTCGCGCCATTGACTTTGAGGTCTGGGTAGACGACCTGCATTTGTTTTTACAGTGCGATAGGGCAGACGGCCTCTCTCTCTTTGACCTTACCTCTGGCGCCTCTTCTGCTCCTGCTTCTGATGCTGATCCCACTGTGCGCTCTCAGTGGGCCACCCGCGATGCTGCTGCACGTCTTGCTGTGCGTCGCCACTTCCCTACCTCTGAGCGCGCGCACTTTAGTCAGTACAAGAGTGCTCAGACCTTGTACGGCGCTGTAGTTGCGCGCTACTCCTCCCCTGCCACTGCTGCACTGAGCCGTCTCATGCTTCCCTACCTCTTTCCTGACCTCTCTTCCTTTCCCACTGTCACTGACCTCATTACGCACCTCCGCACTAGTGACACTCGCTACCGCGCCGCCCTTCCTGCTGAGTTCTGCGCTGAGAACCCCCCCCCCATGTACATCACTCTCTACTACGTAGTCGCACGCCTCCATGACTCCCTTCGCGTAGTCAGGGACCACTTTCTCGCAGTCTGTCCCACCACCCTCACCGTCGACGTCCTCGAGAAGGCCCTCTTCGTAGCGGAGAAGAGCATAGTCGCTGTAGGAGCTTCTCGTGGTGACCCTGGCACCCCCATCTTTGAGGGGTGCTCTCCTTCCCCCTTGCTGCCCTCTGTTGCCTCTGCTGCTGCTGCCGACCTGCTTGGTCTTGAGTCGGTCGGCGCGGCGTCTGCCCCTAGTGGGAGACGTCGCTCTGGCAAGGGCAAGGGGGGCAAGGGCGCGGGTGGAGCTGGAGGGGGCGGTGGCGGTGGCGGCGGAGGCGGCGGAGGGAGTGGGGGTGGCGGCGGGAGTAGTGGCGGGGGTGGTGGTGGTGGTGGCAGCAGCGGCGGAGGCGGCGGTGGTGGTGGCAGCGGTGGTGGTGGTGGCAGCGGCGGAGGTGGAGGCGGCGGAGGAGGCAGCGGAGGAGGCGGTGGTGGTGGAGGGGGTGGAGCTGGTCGGGGTGGTACCCAGCAGCGTAGCGGCGGTGGTGGTGGCCAGCGCTTGCAGCAGCCGCAGCAGCAGCAGCGTTCGCGGGACATCCCTCCGCCTCAGCAGCTTCGTGAGTGGTACACTCAGCGTCAGAGGGGTGGGGGTACTGGTCCTTGCACCTACGTCCTTCGTTCCGGCGACCGCGCGGGTGAGCAGTGTGGGGGTGCCCACCCCACCCAGCGCTGCTTTGGCCGCCTGACGGACGCTTGGCGTCAGCAGTTCCCCGGGGCTAGTGAGATC